TGTCTTTGAGGTGTATAGATTTGAAGCTGCTTATGTAGGCAAATTCTGAAATCTTAGTCAAAGTATATTTATAGAATTCATATTATTCAAAGATATCACATTTATTGTAAGAAAACTAAAAGTGACTTTTTGGCAATAAATTGAATTAGTATGCAATTAATTGACTTTTTGTATTTTATATATTGTATACCTAATATAGTAAACAAAATATTCAAAAGATAGCTTTATTTTATTTTAGCATATGATATATTATAAATACTAGGTTTGAACCCGCGATGTACTTGATATCTATGTTTTTATTTGCTTTTCGGAACTATCACTTGCTAATATGGTTTGATGTATCGGTTAAGCAATTTGTACTTCAAAATTAATTTATTTTACTTCTTGTTGTATTAAATTATATAAATACTTGTGAACTACGAAAAATTACATATTTGTGGGCAAGTGTGGAAAAATTAGCATATTCATACCTGCACAAATGAATTCATACATTGAATTTATACGTGTGCTAAATCATACATGCATTTTTCAGAAATTTGAATTTCAAACCGAAAGTTTAATTTTTGTGCTAAATAGTACAAAAACGTGCAAATCATTTCACAGTGTTAACCCACCGTTAAGTTATGATGACGTGGAATCTACGTATGGAAAGTGATCCAAATCGACGTCGTTTGAACAAAAATCATACATGCATTTTAAAGAGGGGGTTATTGGTTTATTGATTTGTAAATCCAACTAGAATTTGTGAATCCTTATTATTTGTGAAATTAAAATATATGGATTTTGAAATAACATGTTTTATTCTTGGATTTGAATCCTTCTATTTTACACTATCAAATCCTTTCAAATCCATTTAAAAATTACTGCGGATTTTAAAATCCTAAAACAAATCACTAAACGAATAACATAGGATTTTAACTAGTATTTATAAATCATACAACCAATAACACATGATTTTGATAGTTATTTTAAAATCTACGATTGAATAACATAGGATTTTTGTTTGGATTTCCAAATCCATCAAAATCAATGATCCAATAACCCCCCTAAATAAATTTTAATTTTAAATCTAAAGTTTATTTTTTGTGCTAAATAGTAAAAACGTGTACAAATCATTTCACAGTATTAACCCAGAATGATCCAAAACGGCGTCGTTTTAGTCGTTAGAACAAAAAGCATAAATAAAAGGGGGATCTGCATAGTTTACAAAAAAAAGAAATAAAAAGATTTGCACAACTAACCTTTTTATGATACCATTTTCTACAAGTACCCTCTCTAGGTGTCCATTTTCAAAAATACTTTCTTCAATGTACAAAATGACTAAATTAACCTTCTTTATTATAATTCATGATGAAGAAAGGAATATTCTTTCCAACAAAAAGAATATTCCTTCCGAAAAATTTCCCGCCAAAACTTTTCGGCAAAAATTTTCCCTCCAAAAATTTCTGAAAAAAAAATACCCGCCAAAAATTTTCCGACAAATTTTCCTGCCAAAATTTTCCGCAATTCCTTAGAAAAACCTTGTAAATATTTTTTTTAATCCCTTTAAAAAACCTTGTAAATCTTTTTGAGGAAAAAAAGAAAACCTTGTAAATCTTATAAAAGTCATCCAAAACCTTTCAAAACTTGAGTAAACCTTTTAAAACCATTGTAAATCATTTTATAACATTTATAAACACTTGTAAATACCTTTAAACCCCTTATAACCGTGATAAATCATTTAATAAAAACTTTTGTAAACTTCTAAAACCCTCTAAAAACCCTTGTAAATCCTTTAAACCCATTTTAAAGAACTTGTAATACCTTTAAAATCTTTTGTAAACCCTTCAAAAACCATTGTAAGCTTCTAAAACCCTTTAAAACTTCTTGTAAATCCTTTAAAACTATTTTTAAATCTTTGTATGCCTTTAAAAACACTTGTAAATCGTTTTAAAAAACCTTTAAAAATCCTTGTAAATTTTAAAAATCCTTTAAAAATCCTTGTAAATCCTTTTAAAACTGTTATAAACTTATAAAAACTTTTAAAAACCATTGTAAATCATTTAAAAACCTTTGTAAGCTTCTAAAACCCTTTAAAAACCATTACAAATCTTTTAAAAACCATTTAAAAACTCTTGTAAATCTTTTTAAAACCCCTTGTAAACCCTTTAAAAGATTCTTTAAAAAATCTTGTAAACCCTTTAAAAATATTTGGCGGGAAAATTATGGCGGAAAATTTTTTTGCGTGAAAATTTTCTCGGAAAATTTTTGGTGGAAAATTTTTGGGGAAAAATTTTTGAAGGAATATTCCTTCCTTTGGAAAGAATATTCTTTCAAATAGGGGTAAAATGACCATTAAAATTTAAGAGAGGGCAAAAATAAAAATTATAAAAAAGAGGGTATTTTTAAAAGAGGGCATCATAAAAATGTTATTGGTATCAATTTCTCTAAATTAAAGTAGCACCCTAGGATCAAACCCGAAGAATCTTTTAGACACAATATTATCTCCATAGCTATAAGAAACAATGACTTAATATATTTTATGTTCTCTTTTCTTCTTCTCTCTTTCCATGGGTCGCTGCCTGTGGAGAAGATTGTTCAACAACAACAATAATGGTTAGTATATGTGCTACAACAAGATCTACATCTGATGAGGTTAATATCTCTTTCTCAATACTCTACTATATTAAATTAAAGTTCCAATATTATTGATGATTAGATTAGTGATTTCTTATCATTATTTATTTATTTATACATAAATCTAATCATTAGTAATATTGGAACTATTTATATTTGTGATATAGGTTTATAATCATTAGTAATAAATCTAATCATTATTTATACTTGTGAATTATGCTTCCATGTTTTTGCTTTTTTGCCATAAAAACCATTTGTTAAAGGTTTGTAATCTTTGATTGTAACACCTAAAAGGTTTTCATTTTAATGAAATATTTACATTCTTAGCAAACAAAATATTGGAACATTAATTTTTCCAACTTATATGCAAAGTTTTGGTTAATATTATCAAGAAAATATAAGAGATCAGATAAAATTTCAGTTATGTACAAAATTTTTATAATTCAAAGTTTAAACTTTATTCAATACTCCGTGTTTAGTCAGAAGATTAAAAACTTTCGTAAGTGTAACGGTTGTTACAAAAAAAATATTTTTGGAGATGTTTGTGCCCATAAGAAATTGCAAATCTAACCATTAGTAATATTGGAACTTTAATTTAAGAGTTCTTACTAATAACCTTTTTATGATACCCTTTTGCAAAACTACCATCTTTTTTTGCCTTTTTCATTTTTGCACTCTCTTAAATTTTAATGACCGTTTTACCTAGCCCTGGGCATTCGGGTACTCGGTTCGGGTTCGGGTAAAAACCGTTCGGGTTCGGGTTTCTCGGGTAGAGGAGTTTAGGACCCAATAGGGTAAACATAAAAATTCGGTTCGGTTTCGGTTCGGGTCCATTCGGGTTCGGTTATAAATTTTCAGAACCGTTAAAAATCCGAGAATTTTTCGGGTACACAAATACCCGAAAATTTACCCGAATACCTGGAAATTTTCGGGTTTTCGGAAAAACACCCAAAAATACCCAGATTTTTAGATGAAAATTCGGAATTTTTTTTATAATTACCGGGATTTTCGGTTAAAAATCGGAATTTCGGGTATAAATTCGGATATTTGAATAGAGAACTCGGGTATTCGGGTCCTAAATTATTTAAATACATTTATATTTCGGGTATCTTTGGGTTCGGGTTCGGTTCGGGTTCGGGTTTTCGGGTAGAGGAGTTTAGGACCCAATAGGGTAAATTTAAAATTTCGGGTTCGGATTCGGGTCTAATTTTTCGGATCGGATCCGGTTCGGATTTTCGGTTCCGGTTTTTTTGCCCAGGCCCCTTAGTTGAAAGAATATTCCTTCATTTGGACGGAATCTTTCTTCCAAAAAATTTTCCGCCAAAAAATTTTCCGATAAAAATTTTCTTATGAAAATTATTTCCCGCCAAATTTTTTTTAAAGGGTTTACAAGGATTTTTAAAGGGTCTTTTAAAGGATTTACAAGGGGTTTTAAATGGTTTTTAAAAGATTTGTAATGGTTTTTAAAGGGTTTTAGAAGCTTAGAAAGGTTTTTAAAGGATTTACAATGGTTTTGAAAAGATTTTATAAGTTTATAACTATTTTTAAAGGATTTACAAGAATTTTTGAAAGATTTTTAAATGGTTTTTAAAAATTTACATGGAATTTTAAAGGGTTTTAAAAAGGATTTACAAGTGTTTTAAAGGCATTTACAAGGATTTAAAAGGATTTACAAGGATTTTTAAAGATATTTACAAAGATTTAAATATAGTTTAAAAGGATTTACAAGGGGTTTGAAAGGGTTTTAGAAGTTTATAAATGTTTTTAAAGCGTTTACAAATGTTTTTAAAGGCATTAAAAGGACTTTAAAATGGGTTTTTGAGGATTTAGAAGGGTTTTTAAAGGGTTTTAGAAGTTAATAAAAGTTTTTTGTAAAGGATTTATCATTGTTATAAGGGGTTCAAAGGGATTTACAAATGTTTGCAAGTGTTTATAAATGTTATAAAATGATTTACAAAGGTTTAAAAAGATTTGCTAAAGTTTTTAAAGGTTTTTTAAGGTTTTTAAAAATATTTACAAGGTTTTTTTTAGGAATTGTGGAAAAATTTTGGCGGAAAAGTTTTGTCGGAAATTTCTTGGCGGGAAATTATTTTTGCTCGAAATCTTTTGTCGGAAATTTTTGGTGGAAAAATTTGGCAGGAAATATTTCAAAAGGAATATTCTTTTAGTTGAAAAGAATATTCTTCTTCATCATGGGTGGTTTATACTAACAGAAGGTAATTTAGTCATTTTATACATTGAATATGATATTTTTAAAAATGGACACCCAAAGAGGGTATTTCTAGAAAATGGTATCATAAAAAGGTTATTTATGCAAATCCCCCTTAATTTAATGTAGTTTCAAACTTATATGCAAAGTTTTGGTCAACATTATTTAAAAAATATAAGAGATAAACTTTGAATTAAATATTATAAGTTGTTTTTAGTCAAGTTTAATCTTTATTCAGTACTCAGTGTTTATTCAGAAATATAGAAGAGCAATCAAGATTTATAAAAAAAACAAAATTAAGGAAGAGGGATATTTGAGGACTTCGATAATTTTGAATGGCAACAACATTGTATTCCTTTGCAAGATCCGGTTGGATATCCATAGCTTTTGCACAATGTTTTGCAGTCTGGCTTAAGTCCAGGAGCACATAATCCCGGACAGGTATCAGCACTTACTGTTCTTGCTTCTGATCATGTAAATAAAATTAGCATACATTATCATCAATTTAATTGCATAAATAAACCCAATAAAATTAACTATAAATAAGCATAGATGATCATAGAATTAAAACTTTTGAATCTTATTTTGTGTAGTTGACATACCTGTGATCAAGAACATTACAATGACAAAAACTGCAAAGGAAGCATATGAGGATTTACGAATACCCATCACTTGAAATCAATATTATTTTGTAATTCTTTTTTATTTGGATGTCTTTGAGGTGTATAGATTTGAAGCTGCTTATATAGGCAAATTCTGAAATCTTAGTCAAAGTATATTTATAGAATTCATATTATTCAAAGATATCACATTTATTGTAAGAAAACTAAAAGTGACTTTTTGGCAATAAATTGAATTAGTATGCAATTAATTTGACTTTTTGTATTTTAAATATTTTATACCTTATATAGTAAATAAAATATTCAAAAGATATTTTTATTTCATTTTAGCATATATATATATATATATCTATATTTATCACAATTAATCTCAAATCTTTAAAGTTAAATCCGTGAACATCTATTACATGTCGGTTCAAAATGCAAATGTACAGCCCAAAATTACAAAACAAAAAAACTGAATGTTACTTTTTGGCAATAAATTAAATTAGTATGCAATTAATTTTACTTTTTGTATTATAAATATTTTATACCTAATATAGTAAACACAATATTCAAAAGATATTTTTGTTTTATTTTAGCATATATATATTATAAATATGATATCCTACATTAGAACATCGAAAATGATACTGTCCAAATTATTTAAAAAGTGAGTGAAAAAAAAATTAGCAATGTTCATATAATCTATCTTAACATTTTTTTTTCCAGCAAATCAGACTTTTATTAATTATAAAGAGTAACTACAAAGACATTATACAGAACTATTGTAACACAATTATTACATACGCAAATATATGTGCCATATACGGAGAAAAATACAGCAGAAGGGAGATTTTTAAAGTATATTTTGTACTAAAAACTATTTTGGGTTATAACCTTTTATTTTTTAATATTTGCATAATCAGACCCTTGCCATTTGAATAAATAACAAAACTTACAAGTAAATTTTGTAACTAAATCACAAACAAATAAAAAATTAGAAAAAATATTTATTACATCAAATAAATTGTAAAATCCCTCTCTAATAACTCGAATCTCTCTCTCCAATATATTTATATAATCATATTTTTTTTTAATTTATATTGTTACATAAAACATATTTATAATAAAAATACAAAAAAAATTCTCAACATTTTGCAATTTAAATTTTGAAAAAGGACGTATATAACTCAACTGATAGAGGAAACATATGTACAACATCTACATAAGGTAGAAAATTTTATATAAGAGTACAAAACCATTATAAATAGGATTATATGATCTCAACTACAAATGAGCATGAAGTTTGATTTCTCAGGCATCCAAATTAAAATTTGTATTCAGTTTCATCCGGTTCTATATTTAAGGAAAATAAAAATTTTAAAAAGTTTCAAAATATAATAAATTTTTTTTTTAGAAAAGATTAAAATATTAGATAAATTCTTACTAATGCCCTAATATTATAATATTCCATTTAAGCTTTACAGAATATTTAAAATATTATAAATATTTAAACTCTAATAAAATTTACAAGGCTTTTTAAAGGGTTTTAAAAAGGATTTACAAGTGTTTTAAAGGCATTTACAAGGATTTAAAAATGGTTTTAAAAGGGTTTACAAGGATTTTTAAAGATATTTACAGAGATTTAAAAATAGTTTAAAAGGATTTACAAGGGGTTTTAAAGGGTTTTAGAATTATATAAATGTTTTTAAAGGGTTTACAAGGGTTTTTAAAGGGTTTACAAAGGTTTTTAAAGGCATTACAAGGACTTTAAAATGGTTTTTTTGAGGATTTAAAGGATTTTAGAACTTTACAAAAGTTTTTATTAAAGGATTTATCGCTGTTATTAGGGGTTTAAAGGGATTTGCAAGTATTTATAAATGTTATAAAATGATTTACAAAGGTTAAAAAAGGTTTCCTAAAGATTTTAAAGGTTTGGATGACTTCTAAAAGATTTATAAGGGTTTTTAAAGGACTTTTTAAGGGTTTTAAAAATACTTACAAGGTTTTATAAAAGGTTTTTTAGGAACTGCAGAAAAATTATGGCGGAAACATTTTTTTGCAGGAAATTTTTTGTCGGAAATTTTTGGCGGAAAAATTCAAAAGGAATATTCGTTTTGTTGGAAAGAATATTCTTTTTCATCATGGGTGGGTTATACTAAAAGAGAGTAATTTAGTCATTTTATACAATGAAGAGGATATTTTCGAAAATAGACACCCAAAAAAGGTATTTGTAGAAACTGATATCATAAAAAGGTTATTAGTGCAAATCCCCTTTAACTAAATGTAGTTTCAAACTTATATGCAAAGTTTTGGTCAACATTATTTAGAAAATATAAGAGATAAACTTTGAATTAGATATTATAAGTTGTTTTTAGTCAAAGTTTAAACTTTATTCAGTACTCGGTGTTTATTCAGAAATATAGAAGAGCAATCAAGATTTATAAAAAATACAAAATTAAGGAAGAGGGATATTTGAGGACTTAGATAATTTTGAATGGCAACAACATTGTATTCCTTTGCAAGATCCGATTGGATATCCATAGCTTTTGCACAATGTTTTGCAGTCTGGTTTAAGTCCAGGAGCACATAATCCTGGACAAGTATCAGCACTTACTGTTCTTGCTTCTGATCATGTAAATAAAATTAGCATACATTATCATCAATTTAATTGCATAAATGAACCCACTAAAATTAACTATAAATAAGCATAGATGATCATAGAATTAAAAGTATTAAACATTATTTTTTGTAGTTGACAAACCTGTGATCAAGAACATTACAATGACAAAAACTGCAAAGGAAGCATATGAGGATTTACGAATACCCATCACTTGAAATCAATATTATTTTGTAATTCTTTTTTATTTGGATGTCTTTGAGGTGTATAGATTTGAAGCTGCTTATATAGGCAAATTCTGAAATCTTAGTCAAAGTATATTTATAGAATTCATATTATTCAAAGATATCACATTTATTGTAAGAAAACTAAAAGTGACTTTTTGGCAATATATTAAATTAGTATGCAATTAATTTGACTTTTTGTATTTTAAATATTTTATACCTTATATAGTAAATAAAATATTCAAAAGATATTTTTATTTCATTTTAGCATATATATCTATATTTATCACAATTAATCTCAAATCATTAGAGTTAAATCCGTGAATATCTATTACAGGTTGGTTCGAAATGCAAATGTACAGCCAAAAATTACAAATAAAAAGAAAACTGAATGTCATTGGCAATAAATTGAATTAGTATGCAATTAATTTGACTTTTTGTATTATAAATATTTTATACCTAATATAGTAAAAAAGATATTTTTGTTTTATTTTAGCATACATATGTTATAAATATTATATCCTACATTAGAACATGGAAAATGATATGGTTCAAATTATTTTAAAAGTGACTGAAAAAAATTTAGTAATGTTCATATAATCTATCTTAGCATTTTTAAGTATATTTTGTACTAAAAACTATTTTGGGTTATAACCTTTTATTTTGTATATTTACATAATCAAACCCTTTCCATTTGGATAAATAACAAAACTTACAAGTAAATTTTGTAATTAAATCACAAGCAAATCGAAAAATTGGAAAAAAAATATTTATTACATCAAAGTTTATTTGTAAAATGGTCAAATATATTTTAAATATACATGTAAGATAATTTACTGGAATATGATTTTTGTGATTTGTTTTTCTTAAATTTACGTTTGTTTTTGTTAGAATAACTTTAAATAATTCATTAAATCAAAAACTTTTGGTGTTCTCTTTAAGACATTATCATTGCTGTCTTCCTTATAAAAATTCTTTGGTTATAATGTTTAATTTTTATTTTAAATGTATATTTTTCAATTATTAAATTAAAAAAATTAACACTTAATTTTGGGGGAATTTTAAAAATGCTCCTTTTCATATACCTATTTTTAAAAATACTTTTCAAACTTTATCAAAAAACTACTAAAAATACTGAAATATATCCATATATGTTTGTAAGCTTATAAATATATAAGCAAATTACTTTTGTTTATGTACAAAACTTTAAATATCTTTCATAAACAGCGTAAAAATTAGTCCTGGGCATTCGGTTAAATCGGGTCTTTCAGTTTGGTTTGTTCGATTTTCCAGTTTGTTTGGTTATTAAAATTTCTCCCGAATTGAACCGAATTATAGTTCGGTTCGGTTTGTTTGGTACTCGGTTTTTTCGGTTCGGTACTCGATTTTTTCGGTTCTGTTATTTGATTTATTTTCTATTCCGAATTGAACCGAAAATAATTCTACTTCGGTTAATTTAAACCGAAATAGAACAAAACATATACAAACCAAAGTCAAAATACTTACAAAACGAATATTTTTTAGGTTTAAGGCTTTCTAAAGCTATGTTATTATTGGACTGGACAAAATATTAACAATATAAGCCCAAATCCATATTTTTTATGAACCCACATATTTTGAGTTTTGACCTAGCCACATGAGGGCCGCCGGATCCGTTGGTGACGACTGCTGTTGGTGACGACTGCCGCCTCCGTTGGTGACTTACGAACTTATAATGAAGGTAAGAATAACCATGGAAGTTGAGAGGTAGCAATAAAAAGCCTGAACAAAAGGAGAAGAGAGTGGCAAAGGAGAAGAGACTTGTGTAGAGAAACACTAGAAAGAAAGGGAGAGTTATGTTTAGATCTAGGGTTTTTTCAATTTTATAGGTGTCTTCCAAAACCGAGAAAACCGGTTAGTTTTAGTTCGCCGAACCGAACAAAACGAGTGCCGAATTCCCAGAAAATTTTTGCCGATCGGTTCATTGTCTCTCACATGTTCGGTACCAAAAACCGAAACATTCGGTTTTCTCGGTTCGGTTTGTTCGGTTCAAACCGTTTGCCCAGGCTAGTAAAAATAAGGGTAAATTGCGTGTGGACACACTTTCAAAAGTTTAATTGCACTATGACATACTTATAAACTCATGGTGCACTTTGGAAAAGTTTCTTTACTCTCTCACCCTCACTTTGACAACATATTAACTCAATTTGCCATCCTAACTAAAATGCCACACAACTAAACACTTACGTTCTTTTCTTCTTCCTTTTCTTCCTCCTCCTCCTTTTCGATTCTTTCCCTTTCTTCCTCTTTCCCTTTCTTCCTCTTTCCCTTTCTTCCTCTTTCCCTTTCTTCCTCTTTCTCTTTCTCATTTTTTATCTTTTTTTTATAATCACTTTATCTTGTTATTGTAACAATATTTTATATTTATTTTTGTACAATACTCAAACTTTCTATTTTTCCTATATTTGAAGATGCATTTTACTATATTTTTGGATGAATTATATTACATATATTATCCATTTTTAGTTGACCATTTATTCGCTGATAATTGGATGGTCAATTGTAATATCATTTCTGGATACATACTTGTGTTTTGATATTTTAACAACATGTGGTTACTTTTTACATGTTTTAGTATAAATGAGTGCATATGTACATGAGAACATTCCAATAAAAATGAGTGTAAATGAGTGTGTATCTGTACATGTGAACATATGGACAATAATCATCTATCCAACGTCGAAGATGAGAGTATTAAGAATGATTGGAAGCATTTTTTGGACAGAATAGGTCATCGGTATCCAAAAAACCTCATCCACATGATCCTTTTTTGGACAGAATAGGTCATCGTATGAATTATATTATGTATATTATCCATTTGTAGTTGACCATTTGTTCTCTGATAATTGGATGGTCAATTGTAATATCGTTTCTGGATATACATACTTGTGTTTGGACATTTTAACAACATATGGTTACTTTTTACATGTTTTAGTATAAATGAGTGCATATGTACATGAGAACATTCCAATAAAAATGAGTGTAAATGAGTGTGTCTCTGTACTATCCAACGTTAAAGATGAGAGTATTAAGAATGATTGGAAGCATTTTTTGGACAGAATAGGTCATTGGTATCCACAAACCCTCATCCACATGATCACAAAGAGCATCGTCACTACCGATTTACATCTGTAAAAACGAAAAACAAAAAATAAAAAAACTCAGAAGCACTTACCTAGATCTGTCATCCAAAGTGATTGAGAAATTAGTATATACAAGTTTAACATAAACGAGAAAACTCAGAAGCACTTACTCTATTCAAGTTTAACATAAAAGAGAAGACATTTACCGTGATTTTGTGTTCTCTATATGTTGGAGAAGACGAAACAGCTATAAACCACTAAGTTTTATGGGTTTATTATATTCTTGGTTAATTAAATTAAATAATTAATAGTAACTAAAACATAAACGAAGTTACGCATCAAACGGACGACAATTAGAAATGGACGAGACACAGTTTTACTTTATTAGGACAGTTTGTGTCTTTTTTTGGCACAAACAGTGCCCAAAGTACACCAACAATTGGAAAGTGTGTCTTTTGTAACTCTTCCCCCTTAAAGTGTGTTAGTAGGTAAATCACCCTAAAAATAACTTATAAAAATCTTTTAAAAACTTTTTTAAAAACCGTATAAAACCTTATAAAACCTATAAAATCGATTTAAAAAATTTTAAAATATTTGTATTGAATCTCCCAATAGTAGTGATTATATAGAAGTACCTTATAAACTATATAAAACTTTATAATTTTTTTAAATTTAAACTGATATATTTTTGAAAATGGATAGATAAAAGATGTATTTTTAAAAAAGGGTTCATCAAAAAAGTATTTCTCAAAAATTCTCATTAATATTTTATTTTCTTTTTATCAATAAATTAATACCTTCTTAAATTAATAGTAATTCACCGTCCATATATTATTAATTTATTTTTTCTTTGATTTAGTTAGCTAAACTTACCTCCAAACCTCGATTTTGATACCTCCTACAATGTTGGTTAGCTGTCTCTCCAACAATGAGTAGGAATCAACTAGCTGGTTATGCTAACTGGTTATGCTAACTGGTTATGCTAACTGGTTTTGCCCTTTTTGTTTGATGCTCTTTTATCTTATTTCATTAGTCTCAACAAAACTTTTGTGTTTTACTCTCATTAATTAATTACACATTTCATCAAAAGAAAAATAAGAATTACTAATGCTATAAAACTAATCTTCTGTGTATAATAATTAACTATAACCCAACCAAATTGTAATGTCCCGACCGAGACCTCTCTTAGTGGGTCTCATGTTCACTCTCAGCCCATGGGCCACCTCTTTTAATGGATCTCACGTCTTCTCACTAGGCTCGTGAGCCCATCCATATCCGACGGCCGGTTTATTACGTCCAGGAGGCTTAAATAGTTGTTTAACGACCCTACAAATCACCACATGATCTTTTCCTTTGTTTTCGTCTCACTCACACAATATCACACAGTTCCGACAACCACTTCCCGGAAGGTCACATATCTTTTGATTACTCCAGCATAATCATGCTTAATTGCGGAGTTCTTTCCGGACCTTTGACCAAAAAGATAAGTGGATTTTGGTGACATAGGTGGTCAAATCAATTCATTTGAGCCTCTCCGAAAACTAGGGTTTCACAATTCTCCTCCACTAACAAACTGCAACGTCCTTGTTGTGCACCAAGACCGCCATCCCTTAACTGTGTAATCCCACTACTCCACACACTTCTAGGTTCGGCTCTGATATCACTTGTAACGCCCGATTGTCACCTCTTTTATTGGGCCCATGTTCACTCTCACTCCACGGGTCGACCTCTCTTAATGGACCTCACGTCTTTTCACTAGGCCCGTGAGCCCATCCAAATCCAACGACCGGTTTGTTACCTCTGGGAGGTTTACATACTTGTTTACCGACCCTACAAATCATCTCATGATCTTTTCATGTGTTTTGGCCTCACTCACTCAGTATCGACTACCAATTCCCGGAAGGTTACCCATCCTTTGACTACTCCACTGTAACACCTTGCCCCGTGGGAACACTCCGCCATGTGGCACACCCCGCCACATGGCATCCTTACAGCGATGCAGCGCATCGACCCTAACCTCTCTCCTGTGGGCCCCAAACTGCACATCCCACTTGCTCGCAGCCTCCTGGCCCACCAAGTAGGTTATTGGTGCGCCTGGCGTTCCTCGAACCCAGGTCCTCGCCCTTTAACAACTTTCCCACTTGACCAAGGCGCACCAATAACCTACCTAGTGGGCCAGGAGGCTGCGAGCAAGTGGGCTGCGCAGTTTGGGAGCCCATAGGAGAGAGGTTAGGGTCGATGCGCTGCAGCGCTGTAAGGATGACATGTGGCGGGGTGTGCCACATGGCGGATGTTCCCACTGGACGGGTTGTTACATCCACCGTGCTAGCATAAACACGTTTAACTGTGGAGTTCTTTGAGGACATTTGACCAAAAAAGATATGTCAACTTTGGTGACATAGATAACCAAATCATTCGTCTAAACCTCCCCGTAAAGTAGGGTCTCACACAAATTATATTCATGCATCATCAAATAGAAAAGTGTGGTGCAAATTGTGTTGCATAAATTTTCATACATGATATTGTCAAATTATGTGTTTATAAATTTCCGGTTTCAAAGTTAAAATAATGTGAAAATATTGGTGAATGGTCGAGTGCGTGTTCCGAAATATAAGAATTTCGGGAAAAGATTTTCAAAAACGCACACCAATCTAAGTTTTCGATATATTAGGGATTGACAAAACTGTATCGTGACTTAAAACAGTAATACCATTGGAGAAAGAGATGGTATATATATAGAGTAGGAACAAGACAATATATTAATGAGACATGTGAATGGACAACAAAAGAGGTTTTGGAAACGTCGTACAAAATATATTGTCTAGTAGCAAACCACATGACAATTTGAGTAACAAACTTTAAAAATGGCTAGTAGCTAGACTTAAGCCTCTGTCTTCTAAACCAGAAGATAATAATATCCCATAACCATCACTATCATAAGGTCATGACTCTTTTTGCTATATCTCAATGCATTTATTCTCAAGAATGTGTTATAAAACGTTAATGCGATGGTGTATAAATCTTCATCGTAACGATACAAACAACAATGCATAAATATATTCATCTTACGTAGATATTAGTGATACAAACAACAAAAACTCAACGGTTCATATCATTTTAAGATCGGTACTGAGAGTATTAGTTCTTGGTAGAACACTTGTCCGAGCATGAATCCACACAGTCCGCAACTTTGTCTACATCTGCTCAAGCATGCCACAAACACCAAACAACAAACAATACAATCAATCTTATGGTTGAAACATATGTAATCTTACATTAATAGTACCCAACTTACTCGGATTTTGGGTAGAAGAAAGGGGAGCACAATGATGAGTTGCACAACCAAGTTTGCAATAGTAATCATTATGACTAATATCGTTCGTTGAAACCATCTGTGAAGAAGGAGAAGGCATTGGTATTTGTGCTTCATGAACAGGAATAAGACAGACCCCTAGACACATTACTGGACATAACAAAATACTTGGAAACTTCTTCCCGTAGAGACAACCCACAACACAACCACGGTAACAGTTTTTGAAAGGATGACAAGGTTGTGGTTGAGGTTGAGCTTCTGTCTGATTTAGAAGGTTACCCATTACCATCACTATCATCATCATTGTCACAAACATCACCATTCTTTTGCTCTCCATCTTTTTAAGTATAGAGAATAGTATCAAGGATCAAGGTTGAGGAAGTTGAGTGTGTTACATGTAATTTTGTGAATGGTGGTGGTGGTAATCTTTGTTTATATAATGGGCTAAGGGTTTGCTTTATTAGTTAATATATCTTCGGTCAACAAAAATATAAAGGTGTAATTGTGGTGATGTATTTCGATAATGGATAATATATATTTTGTTCTCATTTGATAATGATATTATTCAGTTTATGGCACCCAAATATGCATTACCGTAAAACTTACAGCTTTTTTTTTATGTACATATTTTTACTTAAATACATTAATCTATCTAATACAGCTGGAGGCTAGAAATGTTTTTTTTCTGAAAAAATGCAATTTCAAAGAAATCAATTTTATTCTCACCAATATATATATATATATATATATATATATTATTATATTCTGAATTAACTAGAATAAATAAAGAATAAAGACTAATTGTATACAATAAAACCTCTATAAATTAGTAATCGCTATAGATTAATTAAAAAAATTTCCGATCTTGAGTTAGACTAATTCAATAAATTAATAAGATGATCATCTCATCAGTATTATAAATTGATAATTATGTTACTTTAAAATATTTTATTTGCATCGAAATCTTTCTATATATGTTCTCTTTAAAACAGGACTCTTATTAACATTTTTAGTGGGTTTTTTTGATAAGCTTTAAAAAATGTTATTTTAAAAAAAAGGTATATGAAAATGGGTATTTTTGAAATTCCCCCTTTTTATTTTCTATGTAAAATTTTAAACAATTTTAATTATAATGATTAAATTATATTTTTATGTATATAAATATATATCTAAAAATTACAAAATTATAAAAATCTACTCCAGATTTAGAAATTAATATTTATTTATTAATAATTGTTAATTTATCGCTAATTAAATTAATATTTATATAAATAATTTGATTTTCACGGTTGATGTTATTAATGTATAGAGGTTTTTGATTTATTTATTCTTTATTATTTCCTCCTAATTAGTTAAATTTAGAATTACTAATGCTATAAAACTAATATATTGTGGATATTAAGTTATTAACTAAATATAAGCCAACTTAATAATATTTATCTATGCATCATCCTCGTAATTGATACTGTCATATTGTATGTTTATAAATTTCCGGTTTAGTGAACCAAAATCATAACCTTCTCGTTTCGGTTTGGCTTTCCTTAACCTCGTCGTCGGACTTTGGACGACTAAAGTTAGACTTCATCACTCTGAGAGCTCACGTCGATCTGCGTACGACGGCGATGACGCAGATCATCAGATCCAGCCCCGTTCTCGCTTTCATCAGCTTACAGATTTGCTTGATCTTCTTCGCTTCAACTCTCCCATACACTTCTGGGTAATGAATCCTTCTCTCTTAAAAATTCATCTCAATTCTATCTCTTGAATGCATAGTTCAGTTTCCTTCCTTCCTCCATAGATTCTCATGGATCGTGTAATCCTTAGTTCTAGAGTTCTTCTATTGATAATTTTTGCGGTGGCTGATTTTAATTTGATTTTTTGGAATTTTGAGAAAAACTTTGTTATGCTCTTGATTCATCTCTTTGCTTCGTTATTATGTTCTCTATTTGTTGTGCAGGTCTGAAGATAGTTACACTATTACTGGTAGAGTGAAGATTCCACCAAGTAGGCTTCTGATTTTTCCCTGTTCTCTGCATTTTTTTTTTCTTTTTCTCAAGGGCCTAGCTTACTAGTTGGTTATAGCTGCTATGCTGTCTTCGTTGTAGAACTTGTGGTGCTATGAATGTGTTTTTGTTATTGTGTTCACTTGTCCAATGATCTGTAATTGAAGCTTGAGTTGTATCAGCATAGGTTAGATAGGAGCAGTTCTCTGAATGTTTTTCGTATATTACCTTACATTTCATTGATTTGTTCCTAGTATATGAACTGGTATGTGGTAGGTAATTCATCTCTTTAGTAGAACTGTGGCTGCAGTAAGTGTTTTGGTTAAGATTAAGAATCCTGAGTTATTGTTTTGATGTTTAGAGTGACACTCTTTCGTGTTTATTATTCTTAATGTATGATAAATTGAACTCATGGAACTGATCTATAAGTTATTTTGTAGGCAACGTGATTGGTCACACAGCAAAGTTCTCAAATGTTAAAGTTATACTCAATGGTGGACAGAAGATTACGTTTCTTAGGCCTGATGGATACTTTACTTTGTATCCTTTTGATCCTTCATTGACGCAATAGGATATCGAGAAATATTACTCTCTATATCTAATAATTGGTCTCTTACTTGCCATTAATATATGCTCAAAAGTGAATTAAGAGAATAATGGATATAATTCTTAAATTGTGCGGTCCTTGACTTACCGGTTTGTTGTTTAGTCACAAAGTGCCTGCTGGGACTCATTTGATTGAAGTCTCTGCAATGGGGTACTTCTTTTCTCCTGTAAGTCTTCTCGTATTGCTATGTTTTATGGTTTCCAAAGATGTATTTTCATAAGAACCTAGTTCTAATGTCCCATTTTATAACCAAAATTAGGTAAGAATAGATGTTAGTGCTCGGCATCGGGGCAAGGTTCAAGCAACACTAACAGAAACCAGGAGGAGTCTTACCGAGATGGTTTTGGAGCCATTGAGGGAAGAGCAATACTACGAGGTGATACTTCACATGACTCTTTTCATTTATTATTTTCGCCCAAGCTTCTTCATATCTCTTTTAAATTTCTGACTTGATCTTATAAATTACTACAGATTCGAGAGCCGTTCAACGTTATGTCACTTGTGAAAAGTCCAATGGGTCTCATGGTGGGATTCATGGTCGTGGTTGTGTTCCTAATGCCCAAACTGATGGAAAACATAGGTACGCTTCTATTACCCTCGACTTGTATGCTTAAATACTGCAACCACATAAATAGCAGTTCACGATAAGTCAACACATTCATCTTCCGAGCTTTCCCTGTATACTAAGCAAATGTGAATATGATCCACAATGGATGTTTTTTTATCTCTTGTCACTGATTCTCGTGTTATGAACCAACTTTTGCTTAAGGAATAAGAGAGATTCTAAAAGCTTAGCTCCCTCTTAACCCTAGTCTCTCTTAGAGATCAAGGTTAATTCTTGGGGCTTGGTTTCTCATTAGCATAAAGACCTATATTTATATAGGCCATGATACAACTTATAATTAACCTAAACGTTAAAACCAAAACACCTAACCCTAATGTATTAATTAAAGTAAATAATTAAACTACAATATCAAAACCCAAAACACCCAACTTCATCACTAACATCAACCATAGTCACGTATCATCTCGAAGCTCTCAAAACTCTTGAAAATGGTTGTTACATTGCGAGTTAAACCACACCTTAAATTGTGTCATAAAACAGATCCAGAGGAGATGAAGCAAGCACAAGAGGAAATGAGGAGACAAGGCGTCCCTTCCCTCACGAGCTTATTGCCAGGCGCTGGTGCTAGCCGCTAAGAAGTTCCTCGGTTGGGTTAGACGTATGTATCACAAACGGAGCAGAGAAAGAACCGTCTCAGTGAGTTTGGTTCCTCATCTGCAAATGATATGTAAAATCATCATCTTGTTCGTATGGCTTGTATACTTAAAACGCTCTCTAGCTCACTTACTTTCACTTGATGTAATGAAGAATATAAACAATACATGTTTCAAATAGTATTCTGATTTTCAAAATTTTGCGTTGACTTCACCTTTTTTTATATCCATAACAAAAAGTCAACGTTTGGCGAAACTAGTCCTACCAAAACCTAACCCTCTGGTCTAAGCAGTGAGTCTTCTTAAAGAAGAAAATAAATATTTTTGGCAGAAAATTAAAAAAAATTCAATTTCTCTGTATCTCTTTAAGCTGCCATAGTAACCGATCTCCGAAGCAAAGCAAAGCAAACACAGAAACTGAAGAAGAGAAGTAAAACCTTGAATTCTCTTCTCCTTTGATTCTGAATCTCTCTATCTCATTCCTCTCTGATCGTGGATTGAGATGGAGAGCTTACCAACGACGACGGCTCCGTCGAAATCAGAACGACGAGGCAGGTCCTCCAAGTCTTCTCAGAGTTCATCTAAGTCTTCAGTTATCATGGCTTTCTTCTCTTGCGTTGCTTGGCTCTACGTCGCTGGCCGGTACGTTTTAGCTCCCTTTCTCGTTGATTTCGATTGATAATGGAATCTCTCACTCTAGATTTGTTCTTCTGATTCGATTTCTCGTAGTTTTGGTGTTGTGACGGATCAATTTCCCAGATTCTAGAGATTTTGAGTGTGGAACTGTTTTGTTATGTTTAGGTTATGGCAAGATGCAGAGAATAGAGTGGTACTGAGTGATATTCTTAAGATGAGTTATGATCAGGTTTGGCCATTCTTGTGCTCTCTTGAAATTTTTGTTTGTCTGTTGGAAATGTATTGAGTGGGAATCTTCTTGGAAGTGTAGAAGCCTAAGGTTCTTACGGTGGATGACAAGTTGATGGTACTAGGATGCAAGTAAGTTGGTTCTTACAATTGGCGTTTTGGGTGGACATTGTGAGTTTGTGGTAACACATTGTGTATTTGGCGATGTCAGAGATCTTGAGAGAAGAATTGTTGAAACTGAAATGGAGTTGAGTCTTGCAAAGAGTCAAGGCTATTTGAAAAACTCGAAGAGTGGTTCGTCTTCAGGGAAGAAATTTCTTGCTGTGATTGGTGTGTATTCGGGCTTTGGAAGTCATGTGAGGCGCAATTCATTTAGAAGGTCTTGGATGCCACAAGGTAGATCATCGAAACTGTTTTGTTGTTTTGCCATTTGGTATGATTACTGACTTTTTGTTCTACAGGTGATGTTTTGACTAAACTTGAGGAAAGAGGAATCGTCGTTCGTTTTGTGATTGGTCGAAGGTTTCCCCACTAACTAAATATTTGTGTTAATTTTATGTATCGATTTTTTCGTGCTCCTTATCAGCATATGGACTATAATACTGATGTTAATGTTTTAAGAATTCCAGTCCAAATCGAGGTGATAGCTTAGATCGAAAAATTGACGAGGAAAATCAAGCAAAAAAGGATTTTTTGATTCTTGTAAGTAAACAATATCGAAAGCTTTAGCATCTTTTGGTTGCCTGAGTGATTGTATTATTTTAGCTTTTGCTTCTACTGGTTTACTAGTGTGGATTCTAATTTTGTTCTGGCATTACTGGTTTAACAGGAGAATCATGAAGAGGCTCAAGAAGAGTTATCCAAGAAAGTAAAGTTCTTCTTCAGTGCTGCTGTCCAAAACTGGGATGCAGAGTTTTACATCAAAGTTGATGACAGTATTGACCTAGATCTTGGTAAATACTTACTCTATTATTCCTTATCTTGTGAAATGATGTTTGGTCTTATCATTCATCAGCAATTCATGCTAAATTATCTTGGTTACAATCCATACCAACACCTGTACTTGTGTGATAATTTTTTTTAATCTGCTAGAGGGGTTGATCAGTCTACTTGAAAGTCGACGTGGTCAAGATAATGCGTACATCGGGTGTATGAAGTCTGGACAAGTGGTTTCTGAAAAGTTCGTATCATACTCAACTTTCTTTAATTTGCCTGTCTTTGACAATATATGCAAACTAAAAGTAATGTCCATCTACATGGATCGTTATGTTCAGGGGAGATCAATGGTATGAACCAGAATGGTGGAAATTTGGGGATGAAAAATCGTAAGTGATAGCAAATGTTATACACTTAAAGGGTCTTCTGTGAAACCAAAATCTTATGATGTACCTCATATTATTCTCCTTCATTACATTTAGGTACTTTCGTCATGCAGGTGGTTCGCTCTTAATACTATCCAAGAATTTGGCTCAGTATATAAACATAAACAGGTTGGGCTCACAATCTTAAACTCCCTTAAAGAATGTCATTAGCATTGTGACATGTCTGGTTTACACTCAACACATGTTCTTTTCTTTCACATATACGTAAACACAGTGGATCATTGAAGACATATGCATTTGATGATACCTCCATAGGATCTTGGATGATTGGTGTTCAGGCAACATATATAGACGACAATCGCCTTTGCTGCAGCAGCATCAGACAAGGTATCATCATATTCATATCCTTAAATATTATGTTTTGACTAAATATATGAATCTGCCTAAATTTGAGTATCACTGTTTACTTTTACAGACAAGGTTTGTTCTGTGGCTTGATCAAAGGAGTCTCTTCTAGCACTTCAGATTCACTCTGTGAGGCAGGTTCTTGGAATGTTAACCTGAGTTAAGATTGATTAAGAATCAGATTATCATATAGGGCATACAAATTTAGTCAGCCTAGTTGTGACAAAAAAAGAAAAACAAAAACATTATAAGTTATATAACTGACCACAAATAGTAGACTCAATCCCGGCTTTGAAGTATAAGTTTGAGTGATGGAGTCATTTACTTTGGAACACTTCTAAATGAATAATACTTTACTTCTTATGACTCTCTTGTTCACTTCTTATTATTTGCTAACCTCATGGCTATCCATGTGATGATGCATGCACATAGTGATAGTCTTAGTATCTTACTTTTTGGTTTCAAAACTTTTATGCATTGACATAGTTTTATGTGTCACTTTTATATATTGGTATGGTTTTATGTTAGTTTGAACTTTGAACTTGTCATTTGCCTCATTTATATTTTCAGAGATATTCGGATAGTATGGGTTATTTGGATATATTCTGATTAAAAAATATCCGAATAAAACCGTATCCGACAAATTTTCGTTTACTTTTGGTTATCAACAATCATATTTATACTGATCGAAATCCGAACTATCCGAACTGAAAGCGATCCGAATTTTATGAATACCCGAATAGATGTTAGAATAGATGTTAGAATAAATATCCAAAAAATCTAAAAAAATTTAATCGATTCCGATCCGATATCCGAACGTCCAGGCTTACATATTAAATGTTTTAACGTAAGTTTTGTTTTTCATTGTTATTTTAATTAAGGGTATAATTTCTTAACTCAGAAATAGATTTTATATTTATGTGAAAGAAACTATATACATACGAAACATATGAATCAAGAGTCCAACACTTGCATTCTTTTAGTCTTCAAATGTGTATCATGAGCTTTTTGTTATTTTCATTGCATGAGTAATCCAGTCCAGTCATGACTCCAATATTCAAATATACTGATAACGTGTCATTGCAAAGGACTAGTGTGAAAGAGGAGCAATGTCAATGGTGGCTTTTGATAAAACAAGAAAAAAAACTAAAGTTGGTGCCGCATCGACTACATTTTATAAGAACAATTTGCATTAGCATATATCTATTTCTGAATACGTATTATGAAAATATATGTAATTTAAATTCTTAAATATGTTATGTTTACGTAAGCTAATTTTTCGAACAAAAAGAGTCAGTATATATATAAGATAAGAATGACCAAGTCTTCTTTAGTGGTTTATTCTGTTTTTGTTTTTCTAGATGACTCAAACTCCCAAAGTCAAGGTCATCTAAGTACTTGATAAAAATGATTAACAATTCAATCATCACGTTTAAAATTCCAAGTGATATACATATTATGTATTTTGGTCGAATAATTTGAAGTAATATAAATACACATGTACATACGTAAAACATTGTAACCTATACACAACCAAACACAAACTAAGATAGAAGAAAAAATGAAAGGCAACTTGTGGTTTCTTTCTTTGTTTTTGGTTATCTCTTTGGTGATATCATCATGTGAAGCTTCAACTCAGTCATACGAAATCCGCAAACATTGTAAGTAGTCATCATAATTTTTCATTCGATTTTTAATTAACCATAGTTGTTTATTTGTATGTGATCACTAAAGTTGATGTATTTAACAATTATGTTAGTGAATAGAAGAACACCACCTAGTGATTCAAAACCTGCACCTCAGTATCTTACCAAGCAGGAAAGAATGGTAGAAAAGCAAAGATCTGCTGTCTATGGGTTGTGGTGGTTAGATGAACTGGTTTTTAAATATTACTAGATGAATTTCTGCGCTACGCTGCGAAATTTTTCTTTACTTTGCATATGTATTAAAAATAATTTTGAAGTTTAAAGTTTGTTTTGGAACTGTTTGTATCTAACTCATCAATACAATATAATCTTTGAACTGAACCCAATAACCTATGAATCTGATGAGAAATTATGAACTAATCTTAATTTAGTAAATGTTAAAAAAATATTTTCTATACTTAAATCTATTTAAATTTCAGTATCATGTTTGTTTGTCAAATAGTATATTCTAATATTCATGTTTCTAAATCATGTTGAGTATTGATAATTTCAAGTAATCCACTTTTAAATCTAAAAACTATATTTTTGATTTTTTGGCTACGATAACTTGTCGAGGTTTTTGGTTGTGTTTATCTCAGACCCTTGTATAGGTCACAATTTTTCTGATGCATGACAAATAATGATCTTACAAATTAAAAGATTTGGCGCAACTAATCTAGCAATGAAGTGCTGTTCTAGGGATTTTAACTAGACCACACAAAAATTCTCTATTAGGCTTTTAAGATATTAAAAAAATAAGGTCAGACAGTTTTGAAAAAGTAAAATTATACTAGCTATTCAGTTCAGTTTTAAGGCAAACTTCTAAGTTATGTTACCAATATTTATACATCAGATTTTATCACTTTTAAACCCTTAGTTTTACTTAAAACTTGGTCTTTTATAAAAAAAAAATCGTAATTTTGGTAGAGAAAAAGAAGTTTAGCAAAAACCTAAAGAACCTAGAGATTGAAAACAACAAAAATTACTTAAAAATTGGTCTCTACTATTGTTGATATCACTCTCACTTTATTTGATATCGGAATCAATAATGGGTTAGAAGTGAAATAGAAAGAAGTTCCAATTCTAGAGGTTCGGGAACAAATTAAGAAGACGATCAAGCCATGAAAATGATCAAGAAAAAACGAAGAAATGAATACCTTTTTTTTTGGTTTTTTCTTTTAACAAAATAAAAATCCATGTGACTATCAAAATTATTGGTATGCTCATGTATATTATTTCTTTAAATTTGGTTAGTTTTCCTTTCTAACAAACCCAAAAAAAACAATATTAATGTGTATTTGCTTTTGCTAATTTGTTTGTTTGTCCTTTTCAAATGAGGTGTCTCTGATTTATAACAATACAAAAAGGAATTTAAAACTGATATGGTAGGTTAGAGAGAATAACACAAAGAATGAACAAAAAAAATTTATTTTAATTAGCTACTAATAAAACGTAATCAAGTTGTAGAAGTTTAGGTTATAATTAAACAAAATTAGATTTATATATGATATATGCGCATTATCATATATTTATATGGAATAGTTTTTCATATTTACTTTTAATAAAGAAATTGTCAAGTTAATGTATGATGTATGTTTGTAAAATATGATTACAATTCATTCCGACAATTATATTATAATATCTCTATATTATATAATTAAATAGTTTATAACTGATTTTTGATTATTTTATATCAATGTGATTGCATGTCTATGACCTGTCTACCATATAATAAAAAAATACAAATATTTGCTAATTTATACATTTCTAAGTTCTATTATTTGCTCTACTTGTGCATTCAACTAAAAAAAATCAAACTAAATCGAATAAAAAGTTCCAAATTTGGATGTCAATTATTAAGTCAGCCTTGTCCGATCCTTACTGTCCAACCTGCGAGAACGTTCTGTTGTAATAGTGTCTTAGCATTGTTGTCTGTTAATTCGAATAACACGTGCATGCTCATTATTGTTCGTATATATGTTTCATAACTTGTACTATTTGTTTTTAAAAATTTGAACTATAACATATGAAGCATTTTTAAAATATATTTTAAGGGATATTCGAATTTATATGATGTAACTAGGTTGTTCGACATAAAAACATATAAATGAAAAGTTTCCAAGAATTGTGCGGATACTGATATATTGTGTTTTTATCGGTATTGAGTTTATTTATTCTCTCTTATTTTATACTAAGAATACTTATAGTAATTTACTTTTATACTAAGAACACTTATCTAGTAACTCTTTTTTCTAAGAAAAAATAAATATAGTACCTTTTTCGATAAAGGGTTGGCGATCTATATATATATTACTTGATCCCTTACCAATTACCATAATATATAGAACAAATAGTATATGTACACCAAATCAAATTTAGACTAGGGAAGTTAGAAATATCGAATGAGTCCAGGAGTTCCCCCAAACACTTCAGTGGAATACTATTTACTAGACAATGGTATCTCCAATGAAGAGCTCAGAAGAACTCTAGGGAACATCCGACCAAAACAATGTTATTTTCTTCTTATGTATTGAATGGGAAAATTGGGTTTACAAAGGTGTTACTGTTTGAAAAAGAATTGGCGTTTCATATATATACAATTGGAAGCATTGTGAATGTAGACGTGACTTCAGGTTAAGGGCTTGTGTACGTACGTGAGGGAATCAAATTTCAGCTTTTTTTGCAAGATACGTTTACACGCACACATGTGCCAATGAATATGTGCATGTACACTCACATATATGCAAATGCACACATGAATTTGTTTGCTTGTTTTGTGCACATATACACACAAAGACAGTTCAGTTTTGGCGACCGGATAGTTTTACCATTCTAACATAATCTTACCCTTTTTTTTGAGCAATACTTGGATTCACCCCTAGAAGTGAACCACTATTGTTCACCCCCTATTGATTAGCCAATCAAATTAAAAAAATATGTCATGTTATATTATATTTAAAAAATAAATCAAAAATAAAACAAATTTTAACCACTCGTTTACAAACCTAAACCGAAATATAATTTCTTCTAATTACAAAATTTAAACCCTAAATCTTATTTTATCAACCTAAACCGAAATATAATTTCTACTAATTACAAAATCTAAACTCTAACCACTATTTTGTCAAACCAAACTAAAATATATTTTTTTTTAATTATAAAATCTAAACTCTAACCACTAATTTATCTACCCAAACCGAAATATAATTTTGTTTAATCACAAAATCTGTACCCTAACCACTAATTTATAAACTCAAACCGAAATAATTAAAATCTTACAGAATTTGTTTCCTTAGTTTGCTATATTTTCTTATTTTATTTTTGATTTACTTTTTAAAAATAAAAAATGACTGGCTTATTGTATTTTAATTGGTTAATTAAGAAGGAGTAACATGAACCCAAATATTTTTTTCCCTTTCTAGTGAAGTCCGATTAGGGTTTCTCGTTCGGCCCAGTGATCCTTAAGCCCTTTTAGGATGAATAAAACTAAATATATTTGCTTAAAAATATCATGATCACTTTAAGTGGTATTTTAAGATTTTTGCTTTTTGTTTTGGTCAAATAAGTGATGTTTTAATGCAAAAAAAATTAAAGATATTTGAATTTTTGACTATTTCCACCGATGGTGTTTAGGTGATTAAGAGAATACATTTTACGTGATACTTTCACAATTCTTTTAGAATATTTAACATTTGTTACTGTCATTATTTTTACATCGGGGGTTTTCGTCACTCCATTGAAATATTCTTGGCTTACACAAAAAATGAGAGAATAGAATAAGACCTTTTGGAGCAAAGATCTAGTGAAGAATGTGCTTTATGTAGCAATCTGATAATAATATTATTTTGGCTCCTTATTTCCCAAAATTCTGACTTGGTTCATCTTCATATATAATTCCAGCATATTTTGCTATTCAATGAAGAATATGGAGAAGAAATAGTAACATGCATGGAGAAGCATGTATATATAAATATGCAGCATGGGTTGACACTAGGCTGCGTAAGAGAAGCAACAATATTAGCAAACAGAGACATAACATGTACGTAAAGTAAAATGGCCCTTGAGTTCCCTTAAACGCTTCATTGTTCATACTTTTTTTTTTTAAACAGTTAAGAGGTTGTGGGCCAAACCCATATATCCCCTCAACCCTGAAACCAGAACATGTAATATAGTCTCGTCCCAATCACTCTTTTTTTCTTTAACTAAGAGGTTTTGGAACAAAGTCCATACTTTCACTCAGACCCGAAACCAGAGCATGTAATATGGTCTCGTGATCTCGTCCCAAACATTACTCGAACCGGCGATCTCTAAGCTTTTGCCAAAAACTACTAATTCGCACTTATTGGAGTACTTTCTTAGTTAGCAACTACTAATTCGTTTCATTGGAGTTTAACAGAGTAGACTAATTCTATTAGGGTGGTTTTAGTTTTTATGGGTCAAGTTTTTTAATCTTTTTGTGCTTCGTATCACCCATATGGACTACAAGACTGACGTTAGTGTTTTAAGCATTCTAGTCCAAATCGAGCTCTAGCCTCTAGATTGATAAATTGACGATTCGAAGATCAAGCAAACAAAAAAAAGTCTGACTCTTGTATAAGTAGCGTGTTTCCATCTCCCCTAAACCCTAAAGTCTAATTTTTACTTTTCCCTTCCATGTGTTCTCCAATTCAAAGAATGATAACATAGTTCCTTGCACTGACCAATATGAAGAAGAGCAACGTCAAGCATGTGATTAAGGAAATAATGGTTTAGTGTTTCCATTAAAAAAAAGGTTTGGTGTCGTTCCACTACAATTTCCACTGTTAATTACAAGAAAATAACTGATTTGTTACATTCTGTTTTGTAGAAAAATGGTAGGAAACAAACATTTGTTTTCATTATCCTATACAATTATTGGTTGGATATCACCCGTAAAAAATCGGATATTAAAAGATTTTGGTAAGAAATATCCAACTAAATTGCGTCGTAAAAAATTTTGAAAGTAAACTCGTAAGATTTTACTTCCAATTTCCTAATGAAACCTATTTTTTTTGTAAAACATTTGTAGGAAAATAGTAAAAAAAAAAAAAAACTCTGTCAAAAGTTTTGTAGGAAAATTACTAAGATAATACCGTGTTCTCTTGTAGTATAATTATGAAAAGGTATACAAGCAAACTGGAAAAATATACACGATTCATAAATGTGTGTGATGATGAGCTGGTTTATTTGAATAGAAAACGACCTAGCTAGTCTCCTTTTAGAGTTCTTTTCAATCTTCTTTCTTAGTAAGATATAACTCAAAGTTAAAAAGTCATCTCAAATTTTTCTTTTGAGTTATTTTCTTGTATATCATAAAAGTCTTAAGAACTGAAATGATCAACTTCTTTTTCCCATGTTGTCTACATCCAAGACTCTTCTTGATAATATGGTTTCTCTACGAGGCCTTAAGCTTCATTCTAAAACCTCATATTATAAATACAATACATGCGTAGAACATTATTGTAACTTACTCCAACAAACAATAACAAAAAAATTGAGATATAAGAAAATGAAACGAAACTTGTGGTTCATTGCTTTGGTTTTGGTTCTCTCTTTGGCGATTTTGTCTTGTGAAGCTTCAAATCCATCATACGTAGTTCGCAAGCTTTGTAAGCAGTGCTCCAATTTATATTATCTTTTTTATATATGTGTCACCATAATTTTGAATGTGATTTATAACGTTGATTTATCCAACAGTGATTATAGGAACACCACCTAGTAGTTCAAGACCCGCAGGCCAACATTAGCTAGCGGGAAAGAAGAGCACTAGATGTCTATGGGTCGTGGTGGTAGTTCGATGAACTGGTTGTTTTGTGTTATTTTATTTTATTGTTCATAATGAAAGAAAAAATAAACAGGATTTGAAGTAAAAAAACTTTTACGTTATAAATAAAATTCGATTCATATACAGTATATGCATATACTATATATATATATATATATACATGGGATAATCATTTTTTGAATACTATAATTTTATCATATTTGTTTCGTGATATTAGTATATAAAATATGAATTTGTGTTAATCATTATTGATTTCATCATAATTGAAGAAATATATGGGTTTATAATTGAATTTGCAATTATTTTATATATGAATGTAATTGCATAGTTATGAATGATAAAAAAAAAACCTTTGTTTAAAAGGATACTCATCTATTTAACCCACCTCGAACATCAACTCAAATTTTTGCAATCACATTTTCTCCACCATGTAATTTTCTCCAACTAAAAATTCCAGCTCATGCAACCACACAGATTATTACCTAGTTTTCGTGTTGGACCATTTTCCAGTTTTCGTGTTGGACCATTTTCCACCCACATCTCGAGAGAGACTATTAAAATCTAAAGTCTCACATTGCTTGGGATAAAAATCTTTGGACAATATATATAGGATGTGACAGACCTTCTCCCTTGAACTACCTTTTGGATTAGACCACTTTACTGCGTAAAATACTATTCATTAGAAAATGGTATCTCCAATGAAGTCCCCAGATGAAGAGCTCTAGGGAACATCCGACCAAAGCAATGTCTATTTTTCTTATGTATTGGAGTGGGCAAATTTGTTTGCAATAGAAAGGATATCTACTCAATTGGAGGCATTGTGAATGTAGACGCGAATTCAGGTCAAAGGCAGTGTACGTGAGGGAATCAATTTTGTTTTCAAAAAAGTTCATAAAATCCTTTTTTTCTTTTCAACTTTTTGGAAGATACGTTTACGCGCACATATGCGAAATGAATGTGCATGTACACTCACATACATGCAAAATGCACACATGAATTTGCTTGCTTCTGTTTGTTCCATATATTGGTTGAATTAGTTTTAGTTAATAAATGTTTATGTGTAAAAGAGAATATATTTATGTAACTTCTTAATTTATGTGTAAGAAACTAAAACATAGAGAATACTTATATGATCAGGTTTTATCACTCCGTTGAAATATTCTTGGCTTACACAAAAACAAAGAGAATAGAATAAGACCTTTCGGAGGAAAGATCTAGTGAAGAATGTGCTTATGTAGCAAATTGATAATAATATTATTTTGGCTCCTTATTCCCAAAATTTCGACTTGGTTCATTCATATACTATCTAAATCTACGGTCCCTCCCTGAAAAATTCGTTCACAAAAATGAGAAATATAATATGGAGAAGCATATATAAATATGTCACTAAGGTGAGTGAGTAAGAGAAGTAGCATTAACAATAATACATAACATGTACGTAAAGTCAAGTGTCTCCTTGAGTTCCCTTAAACGCTTCATTGTTTTCTAAGATCTATCGAACAATAGATCAATCTGATGAACACTGAAGTGTTTGGGGGGACTCTAGGTGTCATTTGGCACCCAATGGTTTGAGTGGGTTTTAAACAGTCAGGTGAGTTTTGAGATTTTTTCATGTATATAGTAATGTGATTGTTATCATGAATGGAGTCATTTGATTTCTTAGTTAGCAACTAATGACTCGTTTCATAGGAGTTAAATTAGATTAAACCCGCGTAAATACGAAAGTTTAAGAAATATATATAGAGTTTTATTGCAACTATTTGGATTTTAGATTGGTTACAAAATCATTGACAATACCCTATAGAAAATCCTAAGCTACTGCAAAGTATTAGTTGTTTGTTTTTATGTGTCAAATTTCCATATGGCCTATAAGAATGATGGTAGTGTTTTAAGCATTCCAGTCCAAATCGAGGTGATCATATAGCTTAAGATATGACTAGGAAGCTTGATCAAATTATGTTTAATTCCATCCTCCTAGCTAAATCATGTATTTTTCTTTCCATGTACACTCCAATTCAAAAGACTGATAACTTTTGTAGCAATAACCAATGTAAGAGGAGAAACGTCACCAAGTGTTAATAGCTCAATTGGTAAAGATTTCTGGCAAAAGTTTAGAGGTCGCAGGTTCGAGTAGCGCTTGGAACGAGACCATATAACATGCTCTAATCTTGGGTCTGAGGGGATGTATGGATTTCGGCTCAGAACCTCTTTAATTATTCAAAAAAAAAAAAAGAGGAGAAACGTCAAACATGTGTTAAAGGATTTTTGATAAATAAAAAAATTGTGTTTGTGTCTTGCTGCCTACATTTTGAAATTTCCATTTTGCATAAGAACAAAACTTCGATGATGAGCTCATTTATTTGAACTGAAAGAATCAGTAAACTCATAAGAGCATAAGTATTGGTTGTGGTCGTCCCCCAAAAAAAGTTTTTTTTTTCCTTTTTTCTTTTTATTTTTTTTTTCAAATTTTTTCAATTAAAAAAGAAATGTAACCAATCGCGGGCCGCCACGTGTCAGTAGGACCTGCGATTAGTGAGAAACAAAACGCAGAACCGTCGCGTTTGTGTGTACGTCTTTCAGATTTTTTTTCTTTTTAATTTTGTGTAAAAAATTAGATGGGACTCAGGCAAAGTACGCCAATAAACATGGTCTAAGGGACGACCTAGTCTCTAAAAAGAGTTCTTTTCATGCTTCTTTCTTTGAGAGATGACTCAAAGTCAAAGTCATCACAATCTTTTTTTTAATGTATATTATAAAAAGTCGTAAGAATAGAACCGATCAACTTCTTTTTCCCATGTTTGTCGACGTCGAAGACTCTTTCTTGATTATACTTAGTCAGAAGAACTATATGGTTTCTAGCTCTACGCCTCATCATGTTCCGATATAAATACAAGACATATGCTTAGAACATTATATTGTAACTTACTCAAACAATAACACAAATATAAGAAAATGAAAGGAAACTTGTGGTTCATTGTTTTGTTTTTGGTTCTGTCTTTGGCCATTTTTTCTTGTGCAGCTTTAACTCCACCATACGAAATCCGCAAGCTTTGTAAGTATTCTCAAATATAGCTTTTTTTTTTTTCTATATTTTTCGCTTTTATGTTTTATATGATTTATGTCGATTTATATTCAAGCAGTGAATATAAAAACACCACCTAGTGGTTCAAGACCCGCACCTCAATTTCATTAGCTACAAGGAAAGAACTTCTTTCAAAGAAAGAGCACTAGAATTTAGCCCTGGGCACGAAGCGAATATTCGGAAAATTTGTGATATTTGTGATTCGCTTCGCCTCGACTGAATAGTTGATTTTGCTATTTGTTTCGATTCATAAATTTTCAAGTATTCGAAACTTCGAATATTCGAATATTTTCTGTAATATTCGCGAATTATTCGTTTCGCCTCGATTCGACCCATCTAATTTTTTTTTTAAACTAAAAAAAATATAGTACATAAACATAAAATGCAAAATATGAGACATTGTTTCAAAGAAGAGCACTAGAAGTCTATAATTGTCCTCATGAAGTATCAAATAATACAAACTAGTAATATAACCTTAACCTGCGCTGTTGCACGGGCAGGCATTTTTGTTTGTAAATATGTTTTAGAAGATTTTATTTTAATAAAATTATATTAATTTTAAATTGTGAAACTTATTGATTATGAACACGCACATACACAAGGGATTATATTTATACATATGTTTATTTGGTATAAAATTTGTAATACAAATTTATACTGATTCATTTAGTTAATGAAAGCTTAAAATTATAATTGTTTCTGTTACTCAAAAGCATGAAGACTAATAGGATATTAATGTTTATAATATCTACTGTAATATTAAACCTCTATAAATTATAAGATTATAGTTTTAAACTATAACATAAATATCTTTTTATGGAGATGAGGTATGGGAGAAATTTCATTTTTACAAGAAAGTAAAAGCATATTTCAACATATTTACTTATATATATATATCATATATATATATATGATATATCATATATCATATATATAATGATTATTAATTTATGATATTATTGAGACTATATTTTACATAGGGATTTCAAAAATATTATTATCTTATTATCTTATGGGAGAATTTCAAAAATACCACTTTTCAAATACCATTTGTTAAAAATAGCCCCATTTTAAACTTTATCAAAATAACCACTAAAAATGTTGAAATTTATCCAAATATGTGTGTAAACTTAAAAAATATACACACTAATTACCTTTGTCCGTGTATAAAATTTCATATATCTTTCATAAATAGCGTAAAAATAACTTATAAATATTCTCTTTATCTATCCATTTTCAAAAATACCCCTGTTTAAATATGAAAAATTATAAAGTTTATATTGTTTATAAGATACTTCTATATAATAATACTACTGTGAGATTCAATACAAATATATAATTTAATCGAATAAATAAATATAGGGTTAATATTAAATTTTGATTCCGATAGATATGGCCTTGTGACTTACTGAGTTCTGAGATATATATCTTTGTGTAATAGAATTAGTTAAATGAGAAACCCAAAAAAAAAAGTTATGGGAAAGATGTTTGTATCTTAATTATGAAATTTTTGTTGTATGGTTATAGATTTTACAACACCAATTGTTTTAAATAACACATTTCTATTGAAAAGATGCAAATTAAAATTTATTACCAAATACCAATAAAATATAAGATACAAGCTTTAAGCTAAACATTAGCTGTTTCATGTCAACATTTATATTTTTATTAGGGTTTATTTGAAAAGATAAAATAGTAATCCTCAAGATTAACAAAACAAAAACTAAATAGGAGGAACAATTGAGGATTTAGAGGATCCTTTTGGATTGCAGCAACAGATTCTTCCAGCTCGACAATAACCTCCTGAATACCCTAAGCTAATGCATAGTGTATCACAATCTGGTACAGCTGCAACATTACATATCCCTGGACAATAATCTTTTACTGGTTGTTCTGTTCTTACTCCTGTAATTTATTTTACAAAATTAACCAAACATACATTATCAAAAATGTTCTACAACTATACAATTAACCATAAGCATATACTCATATTTTTGTGTTATATATTGACTAACCTGTGATTAAGAACATTGCAATGATAGAAACCGCAATGAAAACGAAAACGTGTGAAGATCTTTGGATGTTCATTTTGTAATGTCTTTGGATGTTTTGGAGTAGTTCTAAAGATTTAAAGCTAGCTAGGTCTTTATATAGGGAAATTCTGAAATCTATGTGTATTTAGTATTTACAATAAGTCAATAAGTCAGATTCAAACCTACCAAATTTAGTGGAAAATGAAATAAGAATGTAATTTTCTTTTTGGCAAAAAAATTGAATTAGTATACAATAACTTTGACTGTAAAAGATATATACATGGAATAATATTATAATTTATTCAATACTTTAAAGTATATATATCTATATATATATATATATATATATATTAATATATCTATAGTATTATTTACGAAGCACTATATAATAAAACTAACTATAAAAAGTAATATAATAATTAGAATGTCATTTTATAGTTGTATATTTAAATAATTTCATTACAGAAAAATGAATGTCCAAAGATCATGTAATTAATAATTAAATTTAAATATATTTAGCTAAGTTTGACATATTTTCTTAATTAATTTAAATAATAGTAATTAATAAAATGACAAATTTTTGTTCCATAAATAGTAAAATTTTATACCAATTTAATTAATTAATTAATTAATTAAGTTTATACCAATTATTAATTTAAATAACAGTAATTAATGACATAATTAATAAAATGACATAATTTCAATAACAGTAATTAATAAAATGACATAAAGATGATTTTCTGTTCTTAATTAATTAATTTAGCTAAGCTAAATGGAAAAAAATATGTGATTTTATAAATTTAAATAAATTTATCTAAGTTTTATTATTACATGATATTAATGTTAAATATTTTTTATTTTAATAAATGAATTTAAATAAATTTAGCTAAGTTTTGAGATATGTAACAAATAACTTTTTGGATATTTTGATTATTTTGGATATTTAGATATAAATTTAATTGATATATTTAAAATTATAATTATGGTCTTAGATAATTACATGATATTAATGTTAAATATTGTTAATATTTTATATATTTGTATATTGTTTGGATTTTATGGGTACCCGTTCGGGTAACAAGTATTATCATGACCCTAACCCGAACTCACGGGTTTAGCAATATAAAACCTAATAGGGTTATTTAGGCATACCCGTATCCTACCCGAACCGGTTTTTCGGTCGGGTTCCGGGTTGGGTATTCGGGTTCGATTTTTATGCCCAGGCCTAACAGAAATAATAGTAATTAATAAAATGACATAATTTTTTAAGTCAGTAAATCATCTTTATCCCTCAATATTTGTCTAACCAAAATTTTATAACTTTCAATTAACATATTTCATACACAAATCAAAATGAATAATAATGATTTGATATCCAATTATATCATATCAATTATTTTTAGTTGTTTCATTTGTTCTTTCATCTCTATGTGATCTAATAGTTACAAGTGAAGCTTCAAATAATCCATATAAAAAGAATTCGCATATGTCGATTATAACTAAAAAGATAATATATATTTATGAGTCTGTAAAAACATTTAATCAGCTGCAAAGATGAATGGTGATCCATAGAATTGTATAAAAATGATATAAATATCGTAAAAATAGGAAAAACAATCTTAATAGACGTTTATTTTTATTTTTTAAACTTCTTTGGTTTAAGCTTATTTTTTCTATCTGAACTATAGCTAGTTTAAATATTTAAAATGTTATTAGTATTATAGATTGATTAAATATTAAAAATATTATAATATTTTAACATGGTCAAAGTTTAAACATTAGAAATAGTTAAAATTAATTAAAATTTAAAATATCTAAAATATTTTAATTTCTTGAATATATTTAAATCTTAAATTTTGTAATCAAATTAAATTATGAATTATTAACTTGCTTAAATTTTTTTGGGGGAAAAAATTGCTAAAATTTTTAAATAGTTTACTTGATCAGAGAGTCCAATTATTCAAATTCCGACTAAAAATTTATGAAACAGAAAAAGAACGCATAAATAAAGTAAATAAGATTGGAAAGCAAAGACAGGTTTCTCTGAGGCTATTATATATGATCATTTTCATTAATCTTTTAAAAATACCCACATTATAATAGTTATAATTTGATTAAGAATCTCATGGTTAAATGATAAAATCTCTAATGAGAATCTACAAAATTAAATATAAGAATGCTCTCGAAATTTACATTATTAGATAAGGGAACATATGAATAAGTTTGTTTCGAATAATATGTTAGGATGAGACATAGAGTCTAGAGAAGCCATTTTATTTTCTCTGTTAAAAGTAAAATCTCTTTGTGGAGTAATGGCGAAATAAATTTCATAACTAGGCATTAATTCTCGTTTGACTAAAACTATTTTACTACAAAAAGAAAAAAACAAATATGGTGAAAATAATGGTAGGAAATGATTTTAGAGAACTTTTGAGAAATACCCTTTTTGGTGTATTTTTTAAAAATACCCCTCTTTTCTATCCATTTTCAAAAATACCCCTTTTCAAATATGAAAAATTATAAACTTTTATATAGTTAATAAGGTATATCGAGATCATTATTACTGCTGGGAGACTAAATCCAAATATTTATAAGGTTTTACAAGGTTCTAAACAGCATTTATAATGTTTTATAAGATTTTTAAAAGGTTTACACAATCTTTATAAGGTTTTTAAATAATTTTTAAAACGTTTTTAAAAGGTATTTATGAAATATATTTATATATATATATAAATTTACACCATATAAAGATAATTTGTGTCTATAAAAGTGAATGGTGGAAAAAAGTAACTGGCACCGCCCCTTGCTGGATAGAATATCAAGGTCTGTCGAAGGCGGGCGAACGTGTCTTTCTATGGTACGAATTGAACAAAAGCGAGGGATGGATGTCTGAGCGGTTGAAATATAAGTTTACACATATGTTTTTGATAAATTTCAAATTTTATAGTGAGTTTTTGATAAAATTAGAAAGAGATGTATTTTTAAAAAGTAGTATTGGAAAAGGGGTATTTTTGAAATTCCCCCATGATTTTAATGGTGTTGATGACAAACACATCATTAATTATAATTGTAATACACAATTTTACAATTGTTTTTACCAAAATGAAAATTCATATTTTTATAGTTTTTAATACTTAGTTCAAACAAAAAATAATTTATATATTTGGTATGCAATTGGTATATATAAACTTTTTTTTTAAATTTGGTATATATAAACTTTAGTTTCAACTATATTTAAAATTTCAAATTTTCTCAGTTGTGTTTTGTTTTGCATCCAATTCTATATTTTCTCAGTATTAATTAATAGTTGTTGAAGATCTTGGACCTCATGTCTATGTGTTGTAATATATGCAACAACAATACACTTGTTCTTCTTGATTGTGGTGGTGGATGAAGGTGAGGAACATAGCCCAGTAAATTTGTTGACACTGGAGTTTTTACAAATATATATACATAAAAGAAAAAATTATTAGAAAGTTTAAAGATTAAGTTATTGTGAGTTTTTGGTTTAAAGTCACCAAGTATATAATTAGTAGGAAGTATCCCACACATTGCATGAGTTTAAATTAATATAATTTTATACAATAATTTCTATAAAATAAATTTAGATTAAATAAAATTTCAAGACTAATTAAGTATATTATAAAACTGCAAAGATACTTAAGCTTGCATCATAATTAATTATCAAATGCAACAAACATATGAATCGTAGTTTGTGGTTGACAAAAAAAAAATGCAACAACCATAAATTTTCATCAAAAACTATGATTAAAAGAGACATAAAACACAAATGAAGATAGTAAATTAGTATAGAAAGATGATTGGTGAATACATATCTATAGGTATGTCACACTATTTTGTGATATAAACATAACAACTAATTCTCATACAATTTCAAACATAACTTACTAATGTGGTAATGTTGCAAAACAAAATTAAATATGAAAGATATGATGGCTAAATTTTAATATATTATAGATAAAATTAAATATTTAAGACATTTGTATCACAGATAAAAGTAATAGGAGTTTTTTTTATATGTAACACAACAGAATGGAATATGAAAGATATTAGGACTACATTTTAATATATTACGATAAATTTGTGTTTATGTTTATTAATCTTTAATACAACTTTAAATTTTGTTATTAAAAAAATGGTAATAGACCAATAAAAAAGAGACTGAATTTATCTTTTATATTTTTATGCATATTTGAATATATGATAAATGGGTTGTTGTATAAAAGAATTATATGTAAAACAAATGAATGACATATCCTTCAAAATTATGAAGACACACTCAAAAATTAATTAATTCCCAAATAACTCTAAATACTCTAATGTTCTCCCCAACAACAATAATTTGGTATAGAGGGCCATGAGATAGATCTTACAAATACTTATGATAAATATAGTATTTTGAAAGTTGTTGAATGAGTAAATATGTATAAAATCACTTTCTAAATAACATTAGAGTTTAAAAGAATTGTAGAATCAATAAATCCTCAACTTTTTGAATAACAAGAGATTTTAAATGGAATTACAAAATCCGCACACTAATAGTAGAAGACTTTACTAAGAATATAAGAATCAACAAACCAATCATAATGAACTCGTAAATTCTCAACATCTTTAAAAATCTTTCTCACAATAACTCCCCCAAATTCTCCATCACGATATCAAAAATCTCACTAATTAAGCTATGTTAATATCATTTCATAACTATAATGATTCTTTTGTATGTTCAACCACTCATTTATTATAATCGTCTAGCATAAGAAATTCACTAAAAATGAGACACACACACACACACACACATATATATATTGAAAATTTAAAATATGTAAATAATTTAATTGAACACAACTGTTGATAATTTGAAATGCTTTAGCATTCTACTATTAAGTTCTTACATCAAATAAATGATTAAATTTTTAATTGACCATAAATGTTAGCTTAAAATATTAAAGTTATGTATTAGTTTAGCATTCCACTGCAAATGTTAACTTCTCATATAAAATTTATGTATACGTTCATTTCTTTCTATCTGAAATTGAAGTTATGTATGACTTTTTGTGTTTTTGGGTTCTTCGGTCCAAAACTATACACAAAAAGCTAATTAAAAATACTCGAACATTCAAATGATCTAAAAATCCGGTAAAAAACAACCCAAACTACTCAAAAGTATCTGAAAGTACTTATATATGTTGAAATTATCCAAAAAAATCTACTCAAACTCTCCAAAATACTCAAAAATATATACATTATTCCAAAAAAACGATTAAAAACTATCGCAACTGTATTTAAATATTCCAAAATTAATGAATTACCCAAAATTTGAGTTCGGATAGAATAATATTACCCGATATACAAAATACATTGCATATAAACCCGCTAGAATACTATTTCTATATAACAATTTTGAATTGCGGTTTGGATCGGTTTGGATCGGTTCGGTTCGGTTCGGTTCGGATTTGGATTCAGATTTTTCATTCCTTCCCTTATTATAATAAAGTTTTTGACTTTTCGGAATAAAAAATTGTCGGTATAAAATAGCTAGACCCATTTCTTTTTTGTTCCTTCTAATTTTATTCGTGGATTAGAGAGCACGCAATCCAAAAAAATAAAATAAAACATTCTTCTTCTTCATCTGATCCCTCTCTCCGATAAAGATCATTTTTATCTCTTTAGAAAAATTCAAAATTCTCTGATTTGATCGCGACTTCAAAATTGATAATCTAACCGTCATCAATGGGGAAACCGACGGGGAAGAAGAGAAACAAATCCGAAATACCGTATACGGAAGCTTCCGGCAGCAACGGCGGAGGAGGCAAGACCGGAAAAAGCTTCGATCGTTCAACCACCACAAAATCATTCGACGATGATATGACGATCTTCATCAACAGAGCATTAGAGCTGAAAGACGAAGGAAACAAATTATTCCAGAAACGAGATCATGAAGGAGCGATGTTAAGGTACGATAAAGCCGTTAAGCTATTACCTAGAGATCATGGAGATTTAGCTTACCTGAGAACGAGTATGGCTTCTTGTTATATGCAAATGGGGTTAGGTGAGTATCCTAATGCGATTAACGAATGTAATTTGGCTATTGAGGCTTCTCCTAGGTATAGTAAAGCTTTGTTGAAACGAGCTCGGTGTTATGAGGCTTTGAATAAATTGGATTTCGCGTTTAGGGATTCGCGTGTTGTGTTGAATATGGAAGCGGAGAATGTTTCTGCTAATGAGATTTTTGAGAGGGTGAAGAAGGTTTTGGTTGGTAAAGGGATTGATGTTGTTGAGATGGAGAAGAATTTGGTTAATGTGCAGCCTGTTGGCGCGGCTCGGTTAAGGAAGATTGTTAAGGAGAGGTTGCGGAAGAAGAAGAAGAAGTCGATGATGATGAATGCGGAAAAAGATGGTGAATTGAAGAGTAATGAAGGTGTTGTTGAGGATGGGAAGGTTGAGGATGGAGAGGAAGCAGATAGCGGGAAGAAGGGTGAGAAGTCGAAGGAGAAGAAGTTAGAGGATAAGGTTGTGGTTGAGGAGAAGAAAGTGAGTCCTGTTATGGACAAAGAAGTCATTGCTTCGGTGATTGTTGAACGAGGAAATGGTGTTAAGGAAGACACTACAGTGACTAGGACTGTGAAGTTGGTTCATGGAGATGATATACGGTGGGCACAACTGCCGTTGGATTCTAGTGTTAGACTTGTACGAGATGTGATCAGGGATCGGTTTCCTGCTATGAAGGGTTTCTTGATCAAATATAGGGACTCAGAGGGGGATCTGGTTACCATTACTACGACAGATGAGCTGAAGCTAGCTGCATCGACGAGGGAGAAACTTGGATCCTTTAGATTGTATATATCTGAAGTTAGCCCCAATCAAGAACCAACTTATGATGTCTTGAACAACGACGAAGCAACTGATAAGTTTGCCAAGGGATCGAGTAGTGTTGCCGATAATGGAAGCGTTGGAGACTTTGTTGAATCTGAAAAAGCATCTACTGGTCTTGAGCACTGGATTTTCCAGTTTGCGCAACTGTTCAAGAACCATGTTGGATTTGATTCAGATTCGTACTTGGACATTCATAACCTTGGGATGAAATTGTATACAGAAGCCATGGAAGAGATTGTCACTGGTGATGATGCTCAAGAACTGTTTAATATCGCTGCTGATAAGTTTCAAGAAATGGCTGCACTTGCTATGTTTAACTGGGGAAATGTTCATATGTCCAAGGCAAGAAGGCAGATCTATTTTCCTGAGGATGGCTCAAAAGAAACTATACTAGAGAAAGTTGAGGCCGGATTTGAATGGGCACAGAACGAGTACAACAAAGCTGCGGAAAAATATGAAGAAGCAATCAAAATTAAATCGGATTTCTACGAAGCTTATCTAGCTCTGGGGCAACAACAGTTTGAGCAGGCTAAGCTTTGCTGGTATCATGCACTCAGTGGCAATATAGATATTGAAAGCGAGGCCTCCCAGGATGTCTTAAAGCTCTATAACAAAGCTGAGGAGAGCATGGAAAAAGGTATGCAAATATGGGAAGAGATGGAAGAACGTCGTCTAAATGGAATCTCCAATTCTGATAAACACAAAGAACTGCTGCAGAAGTTAGGCTTGGATGGAATCTTTAGTGAAGCATCTGATGAAGAAAGCGCAGAGCAAACAGCTAATATGAGTTCTCAGATTAATCTTTTGTGGGGTTCCTTACTCTATGAACGTTCTATCGTGGAGTATAAGCTTGGCCTTCCGACTTGGGATGAGTGCTTGGAAGTTGCAGTGGAGAAATTTGAATTAGCAGGAGCTTCTGCAACTGATATAGCTGTGATGGTCAAGAACCATTGCTCAAGCGACAGTGCACTTGAAGGTAATGAAGTTTGTAAATAAATACCAACCTCTTGCGAAATTACTTTCAAATATGAGCGGTTAACATTACAACAATCAAACAAAAACTGTAGGTATGGGATTCAAGATCGATGAGATAGTACAGGCATGGAATGAGATGTACGATGCTAAAAGATGGCAAATCGGTGTCCCATCTTTCCGACTAGAACCTTTGTTCCGGAGACGGTCACCAAAACTGCATGATATATTAGAGAATGTGTTATCAGGACCTCAGTGATGGATGACACATTCATCACATCATACAAACCTGAACATATCGGCTTGCATCAGTTTTCACGTATTACTAGGTAAGTATCTCATTTCCACTTCACTAAATCCTCAAAACATTTGCAATATGCTTAACTACGTTTGTTGTTATAATTTGATAAGTTTTTTCGGGGTTGTTGTTCGACGAAAAACTAATCTCTTGATCTGTTCCAACAATTGTTATTGCAGGTATTGTATTCAGTGGGAGATTATACCTTATACGCATTTTTTTCCGAAATTTTTTTGGTTTGGTTTCTCAGCTTACGGAAGCAATGAAGCAATTTTTGTTTTCAATCTCTTGGCGGGTATGACCGTGAAGAAGATGTGCTTGATCATTCTTTTTGTGCAGATGCTATTCATTATTTCATTATTTCATTTTGGTGGGTTTGTAATTATATATCATTAGTTTTGTAATAATTTTATTTATTGATTGTTTGGTTTAGTTTGTGTACCTATAAGATTGTTAATATGATGGTGAATGAATGGTTTTGGTTTGTTTTTTGTAGCACTCAAAAACTGAGGTGGGGTTATAATCCCTATTGGATACTGTATTTTACTGGATTTTAATGTATTTTAAAAGTACAGCGCAAATTCCGCTCTTTATAGGCCCAAAAATCCTTTCACAAAATAATCCATCTTTTTCCCGTTATCGAATCAAGCATTTGTTTGATGTATTTTGAAATGCATTAAAATCTTCCGTTATTAAATATAGATTTGATTTTATTACATTTTTAGTTATAATGGATTTGATTGGATTTTTTTAAGCAAGATCATGAGTAAAACAAATCCAAGTATTTTTATCTGTATTTTGGAGTATTTCATTTAGATAGATATTAAAAATAAATTTGTCTCTTTCTTTATTATTCTTCATCCTAGAAAATTAGAATTGTTTTGGAGAATCACCACAACCCCATCAGAATTACCAACGTTATGGAATAGATGTTCCAAGACTCACCATTGTTGTTTCAAGCAAGTTTCCAATAAAATTTTGGATTAATTTTTTTTAGAGCAATTTGGGATAGTAGAATCAAGCGTGATTTGAATCCAGATCTGAGAGGGCCATCACCATCGGAGGAATTGATAAGAGAACTGAAAAGGGTTGCAGATTAAAGAAACTTGTACAACAAAGGAAAAAGGCGACGATGGAGACACAAAGAAATGATAAATAACAGTTATTTAAAACTTGATAATCATTTATTAAAAAAAAAGTTTCAATCACTATGTAAAACATAGATGATTTTTTTTTTGTCATCAAATAACTAAAAGCCGACTCAAATGAGCCAACTCGACGGACAACTATTTACAAACTTAATCAAATGCGGACTGAAACGAGCTTATCCGTTTTTACATTTATTTTTCTAGGAATAAGAGATAAAGAAAAGGTTGAAAATCTTCCCTATCACTGTTGATATCAAACCATCCTAAACCTGCATACTTTGGCCTTCCAAAACCCATCAATGAAACAACGATAACCCGTAAACCTGTCAAGTAAAGATCTTGGCACGTAGGTATAATATAAATGATTCTTAAAACAAAAAAATCTTACAAATATTGATATATAATAATACAAAAAAAAATCCACGTTTTTTAGAAAAATAATTCTTCACAAATCCACTACAAACACTTTCTAAATCCACGTTATATTATATGCATTAGAAATCTATTGAACTTTTAAATCTACTATTATCCTATGGTAATTAAAAACCTCCATCCAATAACATCCCCTGAGTTTTGGTTTCTAAATTTAAAAAAACGGCACGCAGTGTCTAATTTTGAAGTGTAGTAATTGCATGTTTTTAAATTATTAAGCCCAGTCCTAGAAACAGCACGAATGTTTTACTGGCAAGAGTATAAACGGCACACATGTTTTTCTCCTGAGCTTTCTTCCCCAGTTGGCGAAGAAACCCAGAGAAAGTAACACAGAAGTAGAATCTTCATCTCTCGCAAGCTTGAGAGAAGCTCTCAAATTAGGGGTTTTGCGATTGCGATCACGATCCTTCAGTTACTTTTGCGATAATGGAGAAAGCAAGACAACCAACGCATGCAGGCTCTTGGTATACTGATAATCGTGAGTTCTAAAAAAAAAAAATTTCTCCTTTGCTTATAATTTTCTCACTTGCATGTTCAATCCTTGGGCTGGAGTAATTAGGTTTTCGATTTTTATTTTATTGGGTTGTTCTTGATTTGTTGAACACTGATTTTAGTCTTGTAAGTGTTAAAGTTTTGATTTTTGTGTTAATTGTTTACAATTCGATCGATGTTTAGTATCTGGGTTTTAGGATTTGATTTCTGTAAAAAGAGATTGTGAGATTGTTTTGGTAACAAATGCTTTGAAGCAGTGAGGTTTTGACTTTTGTTTTGGTTCGATTAAGAATCTCAAACTTAGTTTATGTTTCTTGACCAGCTACAAAGTTGTCATCTGATCTTGAAGAATGGCTTAGTGCAACTGGGTTGACTAAATCTCCTGATGTACGAGGCGTGATTGCACCGTAAGTTGTTGTTTTGTTGCTTATCTCATTTGCTCCTAAGAGTGATTGCACTTTTACTGACGTTTTGAAGGGTTTCCAGACACGCAGGTTATTCGTACTCCGGGCGTGCAGCTGCTTATGCCTTTGCAAACATTGATCCTACCAATATGTAAGTAATGCTTTACAATGAGTTAGAATTCATGGCTTCATCATTATTATTCTATCTGACCAGTGTTGTGAATTTTTTTTGGAGTCTTGTTTTAGTTCACGGATATTTCTTCTTGGTCCATCACACCACTTTTATACTCCAAAATGTGCACTTTCGACTGCGACAGTTTACAAAACTCCCATAGGAGATCTACCTGTTGATGTGGAGAGTAAGTTTGGCTACCTTTTCTTGTTCTTACCAAAGAAAGATGTATTTACTTGACGAGGAAAGATGTTTTCTTACGAATTAACCAGTGATTAAGGAGATAAGAGCTATGGGAAAATTTGGAATGATGGATCTTCGGGTTGATGAGGCTGAGCATAGCATGGAAATGCACTTGCCGTATTTGGCCAAAGTATTTGAAGGGTAACTACAGGAGTAGAAATGTTAATGTTCTGAATAACTTTAAATAATGAGACGGATTTGCTGATACCGGCTCATTCTCATATTTGATCAGGCACGATGTGAAAGTTGTCCCCATCTTGGTTGGAGCAGTGAGTGCGGAAAATGAAGCCATGTACGGTGAATTGCTTGCCAAATATGTGGATGATCCCAAGAATTTTTTCTCAGTGTCGTCTGACTTTTGCCACTGGGGCTCAAGGTTTGTCTTAGCTCTTCATCTCCTTTCACTTTTTGAATACTACTTTGTGATGAAACTTCACTTTTGATGTACATTTGATATACTTGGCTCATCTCTTTCTGAAATTTTCCTTTAATTGCATAGCTAGATTTTACGAAGCCTTTCCAGTGAGCTAATTGCCTCTGTTATGATTGTTTTTGTATGTTTTGGCTTCTAGGTTCAATTACATGCATTATGACAACACTCATGGTGCCATACACAAATCGATTGAGGCTCTAGACAAGAAGGGAATGGATATAATAGAGACAGGAGATCCAGATGCCTTTAAGAAGTATCTTCTGGAATTTGACAACACGATTTGTGGCCGCCACCCGATCAGTGTTTTTCTCCATGTAAGCAGTCCAACTCAATAAATTCATGAAAATTAGCCTTAAGCTTCTAGATACTTCTGTTTTAGATGTAACCATTACAATGGATGAATATAAAGGTGAATCTGGTACTCAATTAGGCTACCTTAGCCCATATGGGTTTTGTTAGGATTCATCAAATCTGATTGCTTCTGTTTTATGTTGATTACTACAGATGATAAAACATTCTTCAAGCAAGATTAAGATCAATTTCCTGCGGTACGAGCAGTCAAGCCAATGCCAGACGATGCGAGACAGCAGTGTCAGCTATGCATCTGCTGCTGCCAAGTTGGAAAACTGAACTATAGAAATTCCCATTCAGTTTTAACATTTTGGTTTCAAGGTCTTTCAGGGTCAAATAGTATCTTCTAATCACATTTGACAATGCAAAGAACCTAAGAAAACCAAAGGTTTCGTGTTTACAATCATCTGTAATAACAACAACAAAAAAAGCACAAGACCTCTCTTCTATTGATATCTAATTTTTCATTTTCCTTAGTAGAGACTATGTTCGTACATGGAAGCACAAATCAAGTGTCTCAAGACTTTAAACACTCTGCTTAAACTCTACAGAAACATACATCAAAAGTTAACTCTTACAATCTCCTTACTTTCTGCATATTCAGGCAGAGCTTCCTTTCGATGCCTTCTCTCTCTACTGTAAATGATCCAGAACATAAGTGAGAGCATCACAGCCGCTGCTAATATGGCCAGACCCACATGTACCCAATAACCATAACGACGGAGTCCAGGACAGTGGTTATTGGTTATGTCACTAAATGTTTGCTTTGCGTATGAGCAGTCTTGAAGCTCGACCAGGAATGGCGCGTCTCTGATCAACCCCGTGCTGATGTTAACACATGATGCCATCTGACTGTACAGAGCTGGTGTGAGCCTCCCTGTTGTGGCACATGTCCCGTTTGGGCTTACTTGGCACACGAAACTGGTCCATGCCTGCGAGTGTTGTGACATCACTAAGATATGTTTGACTAGAGACAGTTTCAACTCTAAAGAAATTGGACATTGGGACTTACTTGAGTAGCATTGTTCAAATCGAGCTCACCAGGCGAACAAACTCGATCGGTAAGGTCATGGTTAAAAGGATTGCAGAGCAATGGAAGCAACGGTCCAGATTGGTTATAATACATTTGAACAAAGACTGGAGAGAAGTTGATGTTGGATACATTAGTGATGACTGTGTTGATAAGATCCACGAGCTGATTCGTCACCTCTTTGCTACGCATCAAAGTTTCCTGAGCTGTGGCATTGTCTGTACAAGGCAATATCTCGTCTAGAGCAGTGTTGCTTGATGGTCTCTCAACCCATTCGCTCATTGCCACACATGTGTCTGCAGTTGCACTGATGGTAAAGAAACACATTGAAGTTTTTTTGAGTTTATTCAGTTATTTTAACTAACAAAGAATAAGTTAATGAAGAGTTATGAGACATACTTGTGTAGCACAAGGAATGTTCCGCTCAAGATAAATGTACCTGTCACCAGAATCCATCCCAAAATCACAAGGCTGCACAAGAGCAAAAGGATTCAGATAGTTTTTACTAGTAAAAGTCGTACGGTAAACATTTCAGGGTTTATACTCACGTGTATACGATGACCTGCATCCCGAAAATTGAAGAAACTGCAAGAGAAGAAATGATAAGAAGATCACTAGAGTTAGTTGAAAGTTGAGAAACATGTAGGCATATAGAGAAGTTCAATTCCAAGAGTTTTTGTCTTTAAAAGGTTGAAAATATCACACAATATGAGGATTTGTGACTTACCGAGACCAAGAAATGTCACGACAAGCATCACGATTGAAACTACGATAAGCGCCACCCTCCTGCAAGAACAGAAATCACCCTTATAAATTGTCTTTCAAGATTCAAAAATCAGGTTCTTGTAACAGATAGAATGTTAGGAGGTTGTTGTTACACTGAATCAAGGAAATGTCTTATGTGATTGGAGCTACTAGTCGATTTCTCGGTGATGGTAGCTACAGAAGAATTCAGTTTCGCTCCAATCTGATCGATTTCAGTTTGAACATTTGCAGGTAAAAGGACCTGAAGAACTGCAGTCTGCTTGGCTGAAGCAAGATAATCTGAGATAGCTCTAAGCTGTGAAATCGTGCTATCAGCTTGGCTCATTACATACTCTAACGTCTCTGTCGTGCTTTTGTTGTACCTGATCTGACCCGAGTAAAGCAGAACACATCCTATTCTGCGATAACAAGAACTCAAATACTTAGTAATTAAAACAAGAAAGCACTCTACATAACAAACAAAGTGGTGTTATCTTTTTCTTGAACTCACATTGCAATAACAGTGAAGATAAGGAGGAAGACGAGGGAGACAACATAAGCAAGTTTTGAGTATCCAATAGACTTGTTTCTATGGCAAATGTGACACATACAGATGACCAAAAGACAGATGCCAAACGTAAGAAACCAGACAGCAGCAAGAACAAAGAGAGGCACAGCTGTATAGCTCACAGACTGCAATGTCAAAAACACAAACACACATATCTAAATCACAGCACCAAACAAAAGAAACATCTAAACACAAGAAATGGAAGATCTTACAGCCCAGTAATGGTGATTGCTTATATTCCATCCTCCAGTATATTTCTCAAAACCATTGAGAGGATCTTTTCTGAAAGTTCTTTGAGCTGCTAAAGCCACTGAAGCTACTTCATTTCCTTGAGGGTTGTTGTAACCAGGTCCTAATAATGGCGCCTCTGCCACTATAAATTTAATTGTAGTACCTATTTTCTTGGATGCTGAAAGAGACAAATCACATTTAAGATTCAATAACACAAAAAGGACAGTAAAGTCTAAAACTTTGTTTTGTTTTGTCAACCCTAGAAATTGCATAGAAAATGTTAAGAATCAACCAGCAAGATTAACAAGAAACAGAGAAAATTTTGCAGTTCTGATGTTATTTTTTCAGATTATAGACAAAACCCATTTGCCAAAAACTGAAGGATTTAGCAAAGTATTGAACTTTGTAAGCTTAGTGAAGTGTGGCATTTTCATGGAAACAAGAAACAGAGAATGTAGAAGAACACAAGAATCTAAAACTTTAACTTTCCCGGAAAAGGGAAAGCTTTCTCTCGAGATATTGCAAGAAAGAAAGAAGCAAAGATAGGGAAACAAAAACCTGTGGGAGGCTGAGTAGGAGAAATGTGAATAGTGGAAGCTCCATGAGAAAGAGAAAGAGAAGTAAAGAAGCAACATAAGAAGAGAAGAAGACGATGAGACATTACTAATACTAACTGCAATCTTGAGAAGAGATAAAGAGAGTTGAAGTGGTGAAGCAGAGCAGAGAGAGAGAGAGAAGAAAGACAATAAACACTAATATGCTTTTTCGAATATCAATGACCCACTGAAGACTTTTTTGCAGTTTTTTCTGTAATGTGTTTAGATTGATGATACACACAAAACCAGTTTTTTTTTTTAGAATTTATTTTTGTGAATTATTGAGCAATGGAATCTAGTAGATTTAACTTTTACCGCGTGTCTAAAAAAAGTTAAAAGTAAATATGTGTTAAGAAATTTTCAATATTTATCTTAGTCACAATTAACTTCAAATTATATGCTATTTACTATAGATCTTATTATAAAGACTTAAGTTTTCAAAGTTAGTAATTCACATGATCTGTGACACGTGTCAATTTTAACGATTAGAGATCTTGATATGTGTTAAAAAAAAAATGTTTCGAACACTTGAAAAATATTAAAAGAGAATTATCTATACTATTAAAACAGAAGGACAAGCTGTATCCAAACAGTCCCAAAAAAAATATTAAAAAATATGTAAATCCAAACCTATTGCCAAACAGAACTAAAGACAGCAAAAAAATAACTAAACCAAGAAAAAAAACTATCTATATTTATGGAAATTATATTTTGTTTCCATAAAAAGTGGACAATTAAATTCAAAACTTTACATGTAAACATATTTTTCAAATGTTTTAAAAACAATAACTTATATTTAATAAATTCTAATAAAACAAATCATCATAAATTTTAAAAAAATTGATATATGAAAAATAAAAAGAAAACTAAATGACTAATCAAATTCTACAATAGCATAAAATGTGGAGTCATAATAATCAGAATTGATTATATCATAAAAATATTTAAAATTATAAAATCTTAAAAAATCATTAACTATTTTTAAATAAAAAATCTTCAACAAATCAATAATAATTTTTTTTTCTTTTACTAAAATCAACCTAATAAAAAATTTATATCACATAAAACCTTTTATTTTCACATAAAAATCTTCATATTGAAAAATAATCTCGCAAATAGAGCAAAAAAATAAAATAAATCTTTTTGAAATATATTGATTGAAATGAGGTATTTATGTATTTCTTTAAAAAAGAACAAATTAACAAAAATAAATTTAGACCAAAATTGAGTCTTAACCGTAATAACTTCGTATAGCATACAGTCTGTATTTAAATTCGAATAATAGTTATAGAAAAAAATTAATATTAGATCTTATTTTTAACAGCTTTGCATATGTAACTATTTCAACTAATTTAGAATAATATATATTAAAACTTTTTAAATTGACTTTAAATGAAAATATCTAAATATATGTAAATTCTAATTTTGTGTATTTCATATATAATTTCTTATTATATATAACTACCATATATCAATGATTTTCTGAATTTTATAATTAACATATTATCAAATCTTCATGATTTCTTAAAAATATTTAAACAAGAAAATTGATCTAAATTCTAAAATGTAAATCTCTATTTTGGAACGATTATTTAAATTTTTTACGTAATGTTGTTTTAAACAAACATGTAAATGGTGTCATTTATAAAAAAAAAATGATTTTATCTTATAGGGAAAAAAAGAAAAAGGGGACGGATAATTTAAAAAATAAAACATAAATTATCTAAACTATTTCTCATCAAAAACAAGACGATAAAAAAAAAAAATTGAAAACTAAATTCAATTTCAAATTTCAAATAACAAATGACGGGTATGATACATGTATATGAAATTTAAATAGCAAATTTAAGTTTCAAATTTTCTTAATATTTCAAATATCGGGACAAAAGATAACAAATACAGAAAGAGAACGGGTAATTTAGAAAATAATACTTATTATCTTAACTATTTCTAATAATATGCAGAAGGAAATTATGGAC